CATAATATTTTTTTCCTTAGGCACTTTTATGTTAAACACCTCACAGATTGCTCCTTCTGTTAATGGGGAGAGAGAGCCATGAAGAAAAATGCCAATAATTCCTCTTGAAATTTTCCATAAATGGCTGGAAAATGGAACTCCTGATATTTGCATTCTCCACTATTTCAGTATCACTGTGTTCATGGTGATGAACATTCCTAGCATTTTTCAGAAAAATAAGTAAAACTCAAAAGAATATTTTTGGAAATTGTCAATTAGGGTTTTATATCCAGTGTTTGGGATACTTGATTTATGAATTCTGCACCCCACCAAACTGTTGGATATGCAAAGTGCCCCCAGAGATGAGCAAAACCTGCCTGCTTATTTTCTGGAATGAAACACAATCAGATCATCTTGAAAATTATGTCTTTTTTTTTTTTAAAAAAACATCCCTTAAGCCCTGTGAAAGACAGGGATTTATCCATCTAATAGGCAGGTTAAAGGTGGGTGCAACACACAATTAGAAATGTTGCTTGCAGCTGTGAGGTGGAGGAACGAGGAAAAATAATTTTTAGATGCAAAGTTTCTATTAATATTCTTGATTATAGTAGTATAATCTCATACAAACTAAACATTAAAAAGTACAAAGTGCAAAAAAGGGATAAAAACAGAGAAAAATAAGAATATAATAAAGAACAAATATTTAAAGTATTTCCAACATTCATCACAACAAATATCAACATATTTAATGACTCCTTATTCCTTCTAAGATTACAAACAATGATTTCTTCATCCCATATCCCATCTCTTATCTATAGGCAAATCCATAAAATATCATCTTTACAGCAGAAAGTCCATAAAGGGTTGCCAGAAATAACAACATATCTTGTTTTAACCTTGATCAAATAATCAACTTTATATTCCTTCTTAATCTTTAGTTCATTCAAATATTGCCCTAGTATTTTATTTTTATTCATTTCTTCTTTATTCCATTGTAGAATTCTTCAAGTCTTTTAAAAGCCTCTTTTGTAATTCCATTAAAAAAATTAACTAGCTTTCTTAATCATTTGGGTTGCCCTTTTAATTTTTAAAACATCAACCAGTTTCTTTTGTACATTTAGAGACATCCTTTTCCATTATTTTGCCCTGTCACTTGAAATTCAAATTTTGATACCATCTCTATCTTATCAGACAAAATTTGTTCCATATCTGTTATTTCTTCAGCAACATCTTTTGAACATAACTATTCACAGAGGCAAACATCATGACTGACACTATTGATATTGTGGCTACTAATTTTTGGCTCAATTCTTCAAATGTCTCCGGTACTATTTTCAGTGATATAACATTTTGCATTATTTTGTAGATCCCATTAATTAATACAAAAAGTAGGCTAGTGTTTTTTCACTCTGCCTAGAATCTTTAACCCCCCCTAGTGTTTAGTTTTTAAAATCACAACATTATTTAGCTTTGCTATGTTTTGCAAAAAACAAAACATATTTGTTTTCTATAAGAAGCTTTTGTTCTTTATAATTAATTTCAAAATCTTTGGGTAAAAGTTTCTATTGTCTAAATTTATCTAGTACTTAGCGGTCCCCAACCTTTCCAACTTGGCAGACTGGCGGGGGTGAGGAGAGGGGATGGTTCCATGCAAGTGGCAGATGTGCATGCTTGTTTATGCAACTCCATTTGCACGAGCAGCAGGTGCATGGGCCTGTCAGAAGTGCAAATGGAGCTTTGTGTATGAGCGCCTGCTGCAAGCACAAATTGAGCTTCGCATGTGAGCACTCGCCACTCACACAAGCGGAGCTGTGCACATTCACCCGCCGCTTGCATTGCCTGGTTCTGAACGGTATGTGGCCTGGTAGTGGGCTGCGGCCTCGGGGTTCAGGACTCCTGCTTTAGCCCATTTATTACTTTCTAAAATCAAAATCTTATTTAATTTTTTATTTCAAATTCTTTAAATTCTTAAGCTTATGATTAAATTTTTCTTTCATTTAAGATTGAAAGCAAACTCATGTGGTGTTTCCAAACTTCTTATTCTGAACAGCTTAAAAATACCAATTTAGTAATTCCTGAAAGTGATTATAAAGTTAGGTAGGGAACTTAAGTGCCCTTTAAAAGGCACCAATTGTGTTTGCAAGCAAGATGGTTATTTCCATCATATCCCTGAGTTCACACCCATGGGAGACCACTGTCTGGTGATTTCCTCATGAGGAACAGCTATCTGGAGCGTATGTGGACAGTCTCCCATTCTTTCCTTGACTGAAGAGGTTCTGAACAGTCAGTCACAGGTTCTTTATTCTTTGCTGAAGTGATCAACTCCACTTTTATAAAGACATCTTCAGTCCATCATTCCATCCCCGGAAGCCTCGGAGGGGGGGCGGAGAGATTTTGAGGGAGCTGCTTATGACTTTAACTAATAAGTCATTTTAGCTTTGTTGCAATCTTGTGAGAAAGTTAAGAGAGCAACTAGAGTCAGAAGTTGTATGTTTAATCTAAATGTAGTAGCTCACTAACACAACAGAAAAATGAATTTCAACATGTTTTAAAATCCAAACTGCAAATAGGGTTTTAATTTTTTTAAAAGCAGTAACGAAGCAACGTGCGTGACATAGTGTGGATTCAATTTCTGCTGTGATTTATCTCATTTGCAAATGATGTTATTCTGCAGATAAATTACAGTATTCGCATTAATTTACAACCTTTGTTGTGACACCATCCCACAAATGATATAAATCCTCACAATGCCCAATTCTCTGATTCAGTGGATTTTCTCCAATAACAGACAGCTCATCCTCCTACCAGTAAGTTCATTTTGTGGATGTTCATTTTAATTTTGAGAATCTCAGTCTGTTCTTGCACATATCAAGTTATTGCTGCTTTTAGATCATCTGAAATCCATTGCCTGGCACATCATCTGCCCCGCATTTAAAAGTATTTCATCAGATAATGTTATGTTAGCCTCAAATGACTTTAAGACTGACTTGCTATTTGACTGCAGGCCACTATACGTTTCCTGAAATAATTTAAAGTTTCTCTCAGTGAAAGTTCTGCCCAGTGTATCTCCTTCCCTCATTCCTCTCCAGTTTTTCTATTGTCTTTTGAAAATATTCAGAAGCAATTGTTGGATAATCAGTCTGGCCAAAATGTTAAAATAGTCTTCATTGTGCAGCCATATCTGCCATGTCGACTTTTTTGATCCCTTCTCCACCTGAATAGCAGAATAAAAACAGAGTTGGAAAGAATCTTGCAGGTCATCTAGTCCAACCCCCTGCTCAAGCAGGAGACAGAGACCAGTGTTGGTAAACCTTTTTGGCACGAGTGCCGAAATTGGAGCGTGTGCATACTTGAGCATGGGGGGAAGCACTGGAAACTGGAAGAGCAGCTCCCTGGCGTCAATGCATGCACCAGGAAGCCGAGCTTTTGGTTTCCGGCGGACGCATGCATGCGAGAGAACTGCTCTTTTGGTTTCTGGCACTCCCACGCATGCAAAGACCAGCTGGCTTACTGGAACCTGGAAGAGCAATGGGAGACAGCTGGCAGGTCCAGAGAAATGGCTCTGCATGCCATTTCTGGCACACATGCCATAGGTTCACCATCACGGCCCTATACTATTTCTGATGAGTGTCCAGTCTCTTCTTGAAAGTCTCTGATGATGAACAACCCACAACTTCTGAGAGGAAGCTGTTCCATTGGTTGATTGTTCCCATAGTCAGAAAATTTCTCTTTATTTCTAGGTTAAGTCTCTTCTTGATTAGTTTTCATCCATTGTACCTTGTCTGGCCTTTGGGTGCTTTGGAAAATATATTGCCCCCCTCCTCTCTGTGACAGTCCCTCAAATATTGGAATACTGCTATCATGTCACCCCTGTAGGGGTGGGATTCAAAAATCCCAGCAACTGGTTCTCTGCCTGGTTGCTGGGTGGGCGTGGCATGGCGGGCATGGCCTACTGAAACTTCTGGAGGGCCATTTTTCATCTCCCCCAGAGTCTGGAGGCTTCCCTTGGGCTTCTGGGAGAGTGAAAATGACTCCAGATTTCCGGAACTTCTGGTTCAACCATTTTTCACCTTCCACAGAGTTCGGAGGTTTACCTCAGGCCTCTGGGAGGGCAAAAACAGCTTTCCCCGGGCTCTAGGGGAACTTCCAGTTCAGTTGTTTTTCATCTTCCTCAGAGTCTGGAGGATTCCCTCTGGCCTCTTGGAGGGCAAAAACAGCCCCTCCGGGCTCTGGAGGGCCTCCGGAAGTCAAAAACAGCCTGTTTCCAGATTTCCGGAACTTCCAGTTCAGACATTTTTCACCCTCCCAGAGCATCCGCACGGACCCTGCACTTACCTGCATCCAAAATGGGCCATGTGGAGAATCCGGGGAGGGGAAGGGCAGGGTGGGAGCGACCAGCCAGTCGGTTCAACTACTGGCTCAGCAAACCAGGTGTAAATTTAACATCCGGTTCACCCAAACTGGGCCCAACCAGCTTAATCTCACCCCTGCACCCCTGGTCCTTCTCTTTACTAGACTAGACATGTCCAGTTCTTGCAACTGTTCTTCATACATTTTAGCCTCCAAGTCCCTAATCATCTCTGTGGCAATTCTCTGCACTCTTTCTAGAATTTCAGTATCTTTTTTACAGTTTGGTGACTAAAGCTGAATGCAGTATTCTGGGTATGGTCTTACTGAGGCCGTTTAGTTTCCTGCAGAGATTGCTGCAAACATTATGGATTCAGAGAGCATCTTGACATCTTCATGAGATGGCTGAAGCTTTTTTTAGAAATAAATAGCCACTAAAAGTATTTTCCCTTCCATTTTTGAGCGGGGTTTGATGTCTTTTAAGTTGCTTCTGGTAAAATTTGTAAGGAAAAAAAACACCATTTGTTCTTCCCAATGGCCTACAATGTTCCTTGGTACACAGGCTTCTCTCAGGATCCTCCCAGTGCAAACTTTGAGGTCTGGAAGGGCTCTGAAGCAGAGGAAATCAAATCAACTTACTTCATTCTTGGAAGCAAAAGAACAACATGGCTTTGTGAAGTAGTTTTAATAGACTGGCTGTTTTGGAGTTTTGTCAAGCAATACACTTTATGTTATGTTAAGTTTCATGTTGCCTCATATATAATGAATATTTGTCTTCATCTTACATTTGTTTTTGGCTAATTATTCATGATACAATTCAACAATTTCAAGGATCAGATGCCATGAGGATTTACCAAAGCTTCCTCTCCAAAATAATCACTACTTAAGGATCAGTGTGTAATTCACGCATGTTATCAACTCCTTGAGACCTGTGAATATTTCTAAAAATACAATGAATTCCCCCTATAACAAAGAGAAAAAAATTAATTACCAGCTGCAGAAAGGCATTTTTTAAAATATTTTCAATGATTGCCTGTAGTTTCAAATTATCTGAAATTTATACCTTTAAAAACTTCATGTAATTTGGCCCTGATCCACTGATTTTCACAGTTGCGTTGATTGTTTCTGCACAAAAGAAACAGTGATCAAGAGTTTGCACAAATAAAAGTTATTCTTTTATTTTTCCACATTTTAACACATACCATAGGTGGCGTATCAAAAATAAATGTAGAAGCATAACAACTGGACAAATTATTGCAAATGACAAGAGATAAAAAAAACAAAAAATTGGCTGCCAATACTTTGGCCATGCAAGAGCATTCCAACAGAATGTTATATTAGTTGCTGCACCCCTGTGGAAAAGTGATGCCAGATGCATCATGATATAATCACACAAATACTGAAAAATTGTATAATCTGCATGATGATGTAATGACACACATAACATTATTGCAGCTTGTATGTGATGTCTATAATGCCACCTCCTAGGCAGGAGTATACAACTTTTGGGTGGTCATTGCCAGGGCTCAGAATCCCAAAAATGAGAGGGTCCTAGAACACAACCTCAGTGTGATTTTATTTAAATGAAATTTTACAGTTCGTCATCAACTTACAACCACAACTGAGCCCAAAATTTCCACTGCTAAGTAAGATAGTTGTTAAGAGAGCTTTATTTTATTTATTTATTTATTTGATTTGCCAATTGTTTACAAGATAATAAGTATAAGTGTATACATAGTTGTGAATACATGAAATGGGTACATATAAGAAAAATAAAAGAATAAGAGAAACAATAGGACAGGGACGGTAGGCACGTTGGTGCGCTTATGCACGCCCCCTACAGACCTCTTAGGAAAGGGGTGAGGTCAATAGTAGACAGTCTAAGGTTAAAGTTTTTGGGGTTTGGGGAAGAAACTACAGTCGGGTAGAGTATTCCAGACATTGACCACTCTATTGCTGAAGTCGTATTTCCTGCAATCAAGTTTGGTGCGGTTAACTTTGAGTTTGTATCTATTGTGTGCTCTTGTGTTGTTATGGTTGAAGCTGAAGTATTCATTGACAGGTAGGACATTGCAATGTATGATTTTATATACCATGCTTAAGTCAGACCGAAGACGGCGTAATTCAAGGTTTTCTAGTTCTAGAATTTCAAGTCTGGTGGCATAAGGTATTCTACAACGAGTAGAGGAGTGGATAACTCTTCTTGTGAAATATTTCTGGACTTTCTCAATTGTGCTAATATCAGATACATAATGTGGGTTCCAGACTGATGAACTGTATTCGAGTATTGGTCTAGCAAATGTTTTGTATGCTCTGGTTAGTAGTGTGATATTACCAGAGAAAAAGCTACGTAGGATTAGGTTAACAACTCTTAATGCCTTTTTGGCTATGTGGTTGCAGTGGGCTCTAGCACTTAGATCATTAGAGGTGAGTATTCCAAGGTCCTTTACAGAGCTTGGGTCATCAACAAGATCTTGACTATTCAGCTTGTATTTTATTTTCTGATTTTTTTTGCCAATATGTAAGACAGAGCATTTATTTGTTGAGATTTGAAGTTGCCATTTGTTTGACCATTCTGATACATAGTCAAGATCTTTTTGTAGGGTAGCAGTATTGTCTGTGGTATTGATCAGCTTTACATCATCAGCGAAGAGAACGCAATTGCTCTTAATATGATCACAGAGGTCAGTTTTGTCCCACTCGATGACCTCTTGCCACAATTGTTAAGTGAATCACTGCAGTTGTTAAGTTAGTAACACAGTTGTTAAGTGAATCAAGCAAATTCGTGAATCAGATGTTAAGTGAATCAAGCAAATTTGCAAAAACATGATCACATGACCCTGGGACATTGCAACCATCCTAAAAACAAGCCAGTTGCAAGCATCTGAATTTTTATAAGGTGACAACGGGGATGCTACAACTACTGTAGGTGTGAAAAACAAGTATAAGTCAGTGCTGTTGTAACTTCAAATGGTCACTAAATAAATGCGTATAAGTGCAGGACTCCTTGTACTTGTCATAAACCTATTACATTAAAATTAATATGATTAACTTTAAAATTTTTAGTGACTTCTCTTTTCTATTACATGCCAAACTATAATTTGATTGGACCTTCCCAATTTCTGCCATCTTAAAATTATATAATCTGGCAGCAATGCCTGTGAAAAACTTTTTTTAGGCTGCACCTAAGGCTTAGGTGAAGTATGTGATTCAATCATCAGACTGTATGTGCTTCTTCACATCCTCAGATTTCAATGGCAGTAGAGACCAGGATTGTCGAGGTCATAAAACATGATACCATGTGTCTTAACCACACAGCAAATCTGTGAGACATGTCCATGGACTACTAATCTTGTCACAACTCAGATCCAGGTATGCTTTCTGATGCTGTAACTATTGGGGTCACTTTAATACATCATTCTTAATTATAAGTATCCTAGGATCTTCCTTGGTGCTTAATTTCTTTGAGGTCTGACCCACAATTATACCAGCAATAACAACAATAATAGTAATAATAATTTCCTATTACTAAAGGTATTAAGAATTGTTTAGTTAAAGAATTCTAGTCAAAATATAGCAGGCTTATGGAATGTTTATTATGATATAGTCTTCAGTTTGCAACAACAGTTGGGGCTGGAATTTTTGTTACTAAGTAATGTGATTGTAAAACACAATGTCACGTGAGCAAGTCACTTAGGGATGGCAGTTCTGGCATTTCCTAGTTGTCGACATTGGCCAACCATGGTCATTAAATGAGGATGTTATGTGGTTGCCATTGCAAACTCTTGTTGGCTTCCCTATTGAGTTTGTTTGTAGGAAGCTGGCACAAGGTCACAAATGGCAATCATATGACTGCAACTATACTGTAACAGCTGGGATTTTGAAGACTGGTTGTAAGTAGCACTTATTCAGCACCCTCAGAAGTTTGAATAGTTGCTGAATGAGTCTATATTAAATAAGACTATCAATACTACAGAACAGGTCAGGTAAACACTGGTTGCTATCCTAGCATGTGATCTCTCAGACATATAAGTTATACTTGCAGGTAACAAGCTGGGGATCTGAGAAAAACACTAGATGACATTCTTGGGGTCAAGATAAACCAGATGCTTTGTCTTATGCATTTTTCTTCTGTGCTTTTTACATCAGTTTATGAGCAGACACATCTTATCGTACTTTAACAATTCCACTCTTTTTAAAGGGGTCCATTTATCATAGATCAGCAGCCTGTCATCAACAATAGAAATGCTAAGATTTTATCTAGAGCAATTTGTAAGATATTTTAATCTAGGATGATAACAAAAGATTTAAGTGAAGTCTTCTCACTCTTACATTTGATTGAATTTCTCTTTTATATTATGATTTGTATTTTTATTGTGTTTTATTCAGTTTCTCCCTTATTCTGTTTTTTGAGGTCTGTATTTTTAGGAGGGTTTACTATTACATTGTTTTCGCTGTATTTGGGCATTGTTCATTATTTCTTTTTTCTTTTTACCTTGCTAATAATGGACCATAATCATTTTTTAAGAAATTCAGCACAATTTTATACTGTAATTTTATCTGTTTGATCCTGAGAACCACCAACTGATAGTATGCATTTTTATGAACACAATCCACTTTACAAAATTTAGAAAAACATAAGTTTATCAACCCTCAGTATGTCCTTTTCTGCTGCTTTCTTCACAAAAAGATATATTGGAAGTCTGGATAAATAGAGTACAAGAATCAGAACAAATTTCATAGGTCTGTTAAAGACTGCATGTTCATATTTACCTCCTTTCAGAGCTCCACAATATGAATAGTCATCATCCACACCATGACAAACAGCACTCTCCCATTTTAAGCTTTTAAAAGGCCCATTCCACAACTGTATGCGTGCATTGACAACTGTCAAATCAGCCTCTGCAGAAATATGTTACAGAAAGATTATTGATAATGCAATAATGTAATATAGGTCTATAACATATTCCTTATATGTGTATGAGAAAGAGAGTGAAAATGTGATCATTTTAAAATTCTTTTTAAGTCTATGGGATTTCACAAAACATTTTGTATCCCAGAAGGCATTAATTAAAAACATATTTATACAGACATTTATAAATGGTGACAACAAAGCCAGAGGAATGATATTTATTATACTTTATCATTTATTGTGTCAGATTATACACTATCATTCTTATAATGAAATTAACTAATCAGAAATCTTCCACCAAACTGGGAAGTGAATTGGTTGCTTAGTAGTTTTTTACGTAGCAAAAGTGGAGAGAGAAAAAATAATATACAAACTCAGCATGAGAAAGAACTAGAATTTGTTTCTCTGGTTTAAAGGTTCTCTCTTGCACTTTAACTCAAACAGTTACTTCCAGATATGTTACATTACCCCTACCGTCATTTTCAACAGAATACCCTGTGACTCCCTTGATTTACAAACTACCATGATTTATGCATTACAAGGTACAATGAACAGGTTCACATGATAGTCTAAGAAAAGAAAATCAAACAAATTGTTGGCTCAGCAGTTCAGAATGTAAACTCAAGTCATTGATTGGGGAATAAGCCAATTAAACCAAACAGGACTTAAATGTGTACAATGAAAGGTTTTAGCCAATATTTGCCATTTAGGAGAAATTGCTGTCCAAAAACATTAATGACTATGAAAAAACAAGCATAAGGTTGCTTTGATTGCTAATACTCCAACAATCCTCAGGCATATGAGATGTGTATTGATAATATGAAAAACACAGAAAGATGACCAAAAGTGTACTTCATTGTACTTCCATGACCTTCACATATCAATTAAGTATTTTGTACAAATATTTCACTAGAACCAACTGTATGGCATAAAAGAGTGGTAGCAATCGTTTTTATCAATACTTTATCACTTTAACTGCTCATCTTTCTGTGAGTAATCTATGATTGCTTTATTGTATTTATAAGAAGTTGCCTATGTAAGCATATAAACAAGGAACAAACCCCACATTCACTAGTACTGATGTTACCTCTGTATGTTATAATGACATATCTGCAAGCAAACAACCAGATTCTGAGAGCACTAAGGACTCCACAGTTCAACTCTGAACTACACATTAGATTAACAGAGTTGGAAGGGACCTTGTAAGTCATCTAGTCCAACCCCCAGCCCAAGCAGGAGACCCTACACCATTTCTGACAAATGGCAGTCCAATCTCTTCTTGAAAGTCTCAAGTGATGAAGTTCCCACCACTTCTGAAGGCAAGCTGTTCCAGTGGTCAATTGTTCTCAGTCAGAAAATTTCTCCTTATTTCCAAGTTCCAGGTTATTTCCAGGTACAGATATTCTCTTCTATTGTTATTTAAGGTTACTATGATGCATTGTGAGTGAATCTAACTGATAGGGTCATTAAAAAACATATTCAGAAATGAATATGGACCACTGTGATATATAGACATAGCAGTGAGTTTTATGAATTTTAACTTTGCTGTAGTTGACAGCACTTCAGATTTTTATAAAAAAACACTGTCAGTCTCAATTCTCTCTCTCTCTCTCTCATGCTTTCCAATAACAGCTATTGAATACTGAAAGTCAGTCCTCCTGGAATAATTAGCATACAAGTAGTTCTTAAAATATCACCAGTCAATTAATGACCAAACTTATGACAGACACACATCCCCCTCCCCCCCAAAAAACTGCATACAAGTGTGTTTCAAATTTACAGAGGCTACAATACCCCTGTAGTCATTTGCCCTTACAACCACAACCATAGGAATGCTGCAACATCCCCCACCTTTCTCCCCCCATCCCGCCCTGACAGGACTCCACAGTGCTTGGGCCTGGTACCTATATTTACTGGAACCAGACACCGTTTTCTGTGCTCTGACAATCCCTTGAGGAAAAGAAAACTTTCAGTCCCAATCATGCAAACGGGGCAGCTTTAGGACCAGCTTCCCAAAACCTTACCCTTTCACTTAACCCCTGCCTCTTCCAAAAAGTCACGTTTGTTCAATAAACAAAAACAGCTCAGAGGGTCAGACTTGTTGATCCATCCCCCCCCACACACACAAAAAATTAGGTGCTGAAATTAAACTCTCTGCCTCTACCCTCTAATCTTGATCCCCTTTAACCACTGAAGTGTTAATACCACTTTGTAATGCCTTGGTAAGGCTACACTTAGAATACCGCATCCAGTTTTGGTCACCACGATGTAAAAAAGATGTTGAGACTCTAGAAAGAATGCAGAGAAGAACAACAAAGATGATTAGGGGCCTGGAGGCTAAAACATTAAAAAAAATGATTACAGGAATTGGGTATGTTTCAGTTTAATGAAAAGAAGGACTAGGGATGACATGATAGCATTGTTACAATAAAACAGCAGTGTTCCAGGGGCTGCCACAAAGAAGAGGGCGCCAAGCTATTCTCTAAAGCAGTGATCCCCAACCTTTTTGATGCCGCGGCCCGGTACCGGCATCAGCTGGGCGCCGCGGCCCAGTACCGGCATCAACTGGGCACCATCTTTTTTTGACGAAAAAGTGCTTCCGGTGACCTCACCGGAAGCACTTTTTCGTCAAAAAAGATGGCGGCGCCAGCGCTTCCGGTGAGCTTTTTCGGGTAGAAATGGCTTTCTACCCGGAAAAGCTCACCGGAAGCGCTGGCGCCGCCATCTTTTTTTGATGAAAAAGTGCTTCCGGTGAGCTTTCTACCCGGAAAAGCTCACCGGAAGCACTTTTTTACCAAAAAAAGATGGCGGCGCCCAGCAACCAGCGGCCCGGTAAGACTTGCACCTGAGGGCAGGACAAGAAGCAATGGATCGAAACTGATCAAGGAGAGAAGCAACTTAGAACTAAGGAGAAATTTCCTGACACTTAGAACAATTAACCAGTGGAACAACTTGCCTCCAGAAGTTGTGAATGCTCCAAAACTGGAAGTTTTTAAATAGATGTTGGATAACCATTTGTCTGAAATGCTTAGGGTTTATTATGAGCCAGGGGTTTGACTAGAAGACCTGCAAGGTCCCTTCCAACTCTGTTTATTCTATTCTATTCTATTCTATTCTATTCTATTCTATTCTATTCTATTCTATTCTATTCTATTCTATTCTATTCTATTCTACTCTACTCTACTCTACTCTACTCTACTCTATTCTACACTATTCACTTAATTTGCTAAATTTAGCTCATGCTGTAGCTGCCACCTTTGCAGGCAGGCAGCTGGCTTCCACAAAGCCTAGCATGGGCCAGGAAAGGTTTGCAGTTTCCTGAATGCCAGCTGATCAGGGCAGCCCAGCCCCTTCAGGGGCTTGCTTGGAAGCCTCTCTGCATTGAAATGAGGCATTAGGCCCTAATCTAACTGGGGTCTTCTCCCCTGCTGGACTGTTTTTAGCTTTTAAAATCTTTTTGCTGCTTGTCTGCTTCCTTTATGGACCAGCCTCCCTCATTCATAAGGTACTCCATGCTCGCTTAATGACCTGCATGTTTGTTTAACAGTAGCATCAGAGAGAGTAGGGACTGGGGATTGTTAAACAAGGCAATCTAACTTAACAGTTGTCGCTACTTACAACTGTCATGAATAGGCTCCATTAATGTTGTTTGTTGAGCACCACCTGTATATACAATCCAATGAAACACTGCTATGGATGCAAAGATCAGACAAGTCTGGGTATTGATCCTGAATAAGAAGAAACACTTTCCATCCCCAAAGAAATTTACCATCAGATCCAATCCAAAAACAGGAAAAAAATAGTCAGCATGGTATATTTGCTGGACAGGTAGTCCTCACGAGTGATCATTAAGCAAGACCCACCTGTAATGGAGAACAATTAAGTCTGGTGTAGTATAACATAGGCAATAAACTCACTTGGAATCCAGAAAATAGTACCCTGCCAGTCTGTACGATTCCGTAACCAACAAGGCTCCACTGAAAATAAGAAGTTATCTCTCCCAGAACCTATGAGGCAAATACATTTAGTAAAGAAAGAAAAATCATTTAAAAACAACATGAATCTTTTACCATTCCTGTTGGACTACTAATGCACACAACTAACACACTTTTGAAAATATGTGTCAACCAATACTTTGAGTCTGTGCCGGTATGGAAGAAACTAGCAAGACAATACTTAATTATAATAATATAGAGCAATTGCATCTAGAAAAACATCATATAAAAAAGAAATGCACAGTTGAAGAGTTCTTCTACATCTGTAGCTAACTGAAGTAGCTGAGATTGCAACAGGGATTATGTAAACATAGTATTCTGGAGCTTTCAAAATTTCCTTGTTTCTCATCTTTGGGGCCATGTTATTTGTAGATTATTCTATTTTTGCTCACCTGCCAAGATATTCCACAAAGCATGTGACCCACTAAGTCATAAGAAACCATCTTCTCATAAATGGGGACATGCCAGAGCTTTCAATAAGCGAAGAAATAAGTTATTAAGCCAAGTCAGGCCATATTCAATGGCTGAACTTTTCTGAATAGATCTCAATTTTCATATGGCACCCAAAACAGATTTAATATAGTATTATTTTCTGCTCCAAAGCAAATATTTAAACAAGTTCTCTTTCAGCTTTGTAGGTTTCAAAAAGTGGCAAAATAAATGTAAAGGCATGCCTACTCCATGTAGAAATAAGATGTTTCAGTCCCCACTGCTTGCTTAAATGTAATATTCATTAGTTCATTTTATTTAAATTAGAAGAAATTATGGTCATCCCACAGGATTTAAGCTAATTTACAAAATGAAAAATAACTTTTGTGCCAATATTACAAAGAACTCGTTAGCAAATGATTGGGACCAAAAGTATCCATGAAAGAACAAAGACACAAGTGAAGGCACAAATGTAATGGCATCATCAGAGACAATTCAACCTATATATTTACATAAAATGTGATGACGTATTTTAATTAAAAGGTGGACTTTTAAAAAATCATATAGGCATGTTGCTTTATAACCATGTTTTAAGTGTGGCCCATGGATGCTTTGGAGAGTCCTGAAAACCAAAACCAAATTTTTTGCCAGATATTGAAGGCATTGTAGTTTGTGGAGCCAAGTAGAGTTACCTATGCCCTTCTTTGAGCACCCAATATTACTTGCGTGGTCATATTCTACATCAGCTGAAGTTTCAGATACTTTTCAGGGCTTATGCTTTAATTTTGGAAGTCAATGAGCATTTTTATTGCTTTATTTATTGTTTCATTGTACATCGCCCAGAGACCCTCTTTGGGAAATATGGATGGTTCCACAATGTGAAAAATAAATAAATAAGCACGCGCACGCAAACACACACACAATCTAGGAAGATAACAAAGGTTGTTCACTCCTGAATAGGGAAGATTCAAGGTTACCATGACAGTTAACCCTAGAATAGATCTAAATAGAATTGTACTTTCTGTGTTTCACAGCTACTTGATAGGAATTTCTACAGAAGTTATTACACAGATGTTATGATAATGTAATGGAAATTACATCTTAGGGTAAAAGACTTGGGGTACCTGCTTAAAATCTGAAAATCATTCTGTGATGCTGCAGTCATAACACAACAAGCTTATAGGTGTAGATCTGACACTAGTTTAGCCATGAACCAAATACTGGAAATACATTTGAAGTAGAGTAGAATTATGTCTTTCTAACTACTGCATTTTTCTATTTCATTCTTGTTTGGTGAAAAGAAAGTAACTTCACTTTTGAAGTTTAAAAATCTATTGAGCTCAACTAACGATTAGTTTCATTTTTCTAACCAATACCAATAATATTTTTTTACTAAGAACCTGAAATCATAAGGCATCAGATTATTGCTTTGATTTTACAGAAATCTGTTTCAGCTTAGAAATTGCTAATGAAGAGCATAGTGGAAACTGAATGCAATATACAATAGTCTTAAAATGAGGAAGTTGTTTGACTCAGACTAACTGAGGGATAAATTACCTAAAGAAATAAAAAGGAAAAAAAATTAAGTTTTTAATTTTAATGTAATTAAAAATTTAATTTTAAAAAATTGTTGTAAGTTTTTGCAAACCAAAGAGATTTTCCAGCTCAAAAGCACGTGTGTACTATTTTCTAAGTAAAATTGTGCATCCTAGATTGCAAGTTATCACATTAAGAGTAAAGACCATACTAGTACATGACACTAAAGCTAGTTTTGTCAGGGTTACTTTATTGCAAAAAATAGGGCAAATGGAGAAAACAGAATTTCACTTTACGACATGGTTTTTCAAGTGTCTGTAAGAGTGTGTGTGTCTGTTTCTCTGTGTGAATCAGTGTTAATTACCTTGCCTGGACCAATCCCTGGCAAGATTTTTGGGAAGCGGTTTGCCACTAGAGGAACTTGGCTCAAAGTCACCCAGTTAATTTTGCCGGAGGCCCCGATGACTGGAGCCTCGGGGTCTCTTGCCTCCTAGAACTGATGTCTTAAGCGCTACACCAATTTGTCTCCCTTTTCAAGTTATACCAAACTGGCTCTCTACTTAAACATAGCTGTTTTGTAACTATATAACAAGAAAAGGAAGCAGAGATACTACACAAAATAGCTCTAGGTTAGTGTAAAGCAAACACAGATAAATCTAGTTCCCCCGAATGAAGACTCAATGGTAGCCTCCTCAAAATGATCTCCCTTCTTCTGATCTGTTTCCAAGTATTCTCCAGGACACATTTTTCTTGCTATTTTAAATAAACAGAACAATATAGTCAAAGAAGGGACAAACTAATCTGAAAGGATTTGCAAACTCTGCTTAAACAAAGGAATAGTGGTTCTTTACTTACCACAATAGGAATATAAAATATCAATGTCATTGGATGTACAAAGCAGTTGTTTTTCCAGTGCCACAGTGAAGCCATAAACAGAAAGAATGATAATAACAAGCTGGAAGAAGTGTAGATATCTCAACACCATCTTGCCAGCAACAAAGGAACTTCATTTTCAGTAAAAAGAGGAAGAATGTTACGCTACGTCATCCTCAAATGAGAATTTTTTTAAAGGGGAATAGCTATGTTCTATCTCAAATGATACCAAAACAATTATCTGAACATCTTTTTAATGTTTTGCTTGTTGTTATAGAAGACACGCAATATGTTTTCTGAATCTCATTTGTGTAAAGTGAGAGAGTGAGGAGGATCACTATATTCACCGAAGCTTGATTTGATTATGGCTGTCAGGAGGCAGACCCTCAAGAAATATTGGCTTCTCAATTCAACTTTATTTTGGGCTTCATAATCCTCACCTAACCACCCACTTTTTCCTTCATTCACAAGCATGAATGGACCATTTTGGGACATTATATAAGCTGGAGTAAACCCACTACACAAACCTGACCTAGAGCTTAATGAACAGTTATTCCCATGGTGGCCCTCCTTAATATGTTCAGAAATAGCAATTTAATTAATCAAAACCTGCCAGTTAAAAAAATGGAATAATTTGGATTGGTAGATTACTGTTGTCCTTCCTGTTCACATTTATACAATAAGATTCTAATCCTAAAAATAATGGGGCTAGCTAAAATCTAGCTCTTATATCTAGAAATGATATAAATCATGGTGTAACTGCAGGAATTTTATATAGACAAATACAGTGTTTCTCCAACAATACGGCCTCCCCCAATAGGAAGTCCCAGCATGTTTTATAAGCATAAAATGAAATTAAGCCCCTCCCCCAAATTAAGGCCTATATTAAACATGCAAAATGGGGGGAAATTGTGGGGGGCTTCCTGTTAGGAGCACTCCACAGGCAGCCATGCCTTGCCACCAACCTTCCTACTGTCACCAAGCACAGGAAGGCGAGGCGATGGGCCGCACCGCGTCCTCCGAGCTGAGCCCTGCCGAGTGAGCGCCTCTGCCTGATGCCCGTGCCGCTGCAGCATTTGGAGATGCATGGGGATGGGGACAGGCTGGACGAGGGGTGGAAAGGACAGGCGGCTTCGGGCTCTCTCCACCGGACCTGCCGGCCAGGGAAGCAGCGCTGCCATCGGCTCGCCTCCCTGTCTGTGGATGGGTGGGCGCTATCACTGCCTCGGGTGGCCTCTCCCAGTGGCCCCTTCGGGGTCGGGCTGGAGGGACTTGGGAAGCCAAGCTCGGGTCGGCCCGGCTCTTTCGCTTGGGAGGCAGGCATGCAACCGCGGCTCACTTTCCCGCCTCTGCCCAGCCCACCTGGCTCTGGCACAGCCCTGGCAGGATGAGCGGAGGGCCCGGTGGGGAAGCGCTCACTGCCTTGGCCAGAGCTCCACTGCCAGGCAGGAGGGCCCACCTGTCAGTTGCGCTGGGTGCCCCAGGTGAAGCTTTTCACGCTCCTCCCAGCACCAGGCAGGGATGGCAGCTGGACCCTTCTCCTGGGGTGGGCCGATCCTGCGCTGCAGCCCCAGGAGATTCGCCTCCCCTCATGGGGTTGGGCTGCCCTCTCGGGCAGGGGAGGCTTTGTCGTAGTAGGGTGTCACTTTTAAAAGAATTGGCTTTGCCTTCAAACGATGCCCGGGAAGGCGGCGACCGGAGCGCCTGAAGCCGAGTGTCTCCACCGGGCTCCGGTTGCAGGGAGGAGCCCTGGCCGGCCCCACATGGCTGCGCCAAATGCCACGTGGCTGCACCAAATGCGGCATGGGGAGAAAGGAAAGCAACGGTGGCGGAAGGTCTCCCTATACGAAGTGCCCCACCAACGCTGAGGTCAACATCCAAACTGTCACCGCCCGCCCGCCCGAGGATGCAAGGGGGGGAATTAAGTCACCCCCCAAAAAGACGGCCTAGCCATTTTTTCGGGGGTCAAAAAAAAATAAGGCCCGGCCTTATTTTGTGAGAAACACGGTATTATCTAACAGGCAAGTCTTTCTTATACTATTGTATATATAAACTTTTCAAAAATTCTAGTTTAAGATTAGGCTTGTTTACAAGGCTGTAACACCAAGGCAATTCCTATAAGCATAAGAATTAAACAGAGATGCATATTTGAGCCACTGCTATGGCACATTTGTTAACTAATAGACAAGATCAGGGGTGTCAAATTTACCTGACGTATCAGGACTCCCCCCCCCCCTTTGCTAAACTGGGTGTGGGCGTGGCCAGCGCATGATGCATCCAGCCCGTGAACATGGAGTTTGACAGCCCTGGCCAAGATTATATGTGTCATTCTCCAAAACTGAAGAGTAAATATATTGCAATTTCCTCTTGTATGTAGATGTTATCTGTTATCTCAATTTTAATTGGCCAAAAGTGAGTTATGCCTTGCAATGTAGATGCATTCAAATTAAACAAAAGCTAGTTTAGGATTTTGCCAAAATTCATGCCTGGCAACTAAATAGGCATTCCACTGCAAGGGTTAAAATCATGTTTGGGAATATTTTACCAGACATGGAGCACATATGGAATATATTGTTCAAAAATCACAGAAATTAACATGACCTTTGACATATTTCTATTTTCCCAGAGGCACCTGCTTCATATAAAGGTGAAAGTTTCCCTATCCAGTCATGTCCAACTCTAGCAGGTGGTGCTTCTTTTTCAACACATAACTTTTATAATTATCTAATTTTTAAATAATTTTTGTTGTCTTCTTTTTGAATTGGTGTGACCATAATCAAGTTTATTGAGTTATTCTATTTGCTCTATTCTTTTTGAATTGGTGAGTGACCATAATCAAGTTTAGAGTTATTCTATTTGCTCTATTCAGTCCACAAATGAATGGAAAACAGCTACAAAATCATACAATTTCAGTCTTCATAATGGAGATAATTCACATTTTTCAGCCTAGGTGTGACAAGTTTTCATAAAGTTTTGTGACTGTAACTGCCTATCACAGTAATCATTTACCTCCTTTTCAAGGCAATCATTTTTTAGAAGAACCTTATATATTCTGTGTCTAGATTTAAATGTTATGGTCACACTTCCAAAAAATAGCTAGAAAGATGGCTGTCAATGTATACATTATTGCTAGAGCTTCAACCTTCCTTTTTGTGAAAGTGATCATCAAACAATACTTGGCTGTGATCATTACAAGTGTAGGAAATATGCGTGTAAACTACTTAACCAGATAAAACTATTGGGTATAGCTGTAATATTCTTCATAGTAAGATTAATCATTCTTCCCATGTAACAGAAATCATTTTGAAAATTAAACTTTACTCCTCAAGAATGGTCAAAGGTCATAGAACCTGTACGTGCATTGGAGGAGCAGGCAGTTTATGTTTGCATTTATATGTAGAAAGGAAAGCATGTGACTGTGTAGACCAAGTTTGTAAAATCCATTCTTCAAAGGATATAATTTTTAATTATTTTTATTAATCAGTCTTACAAAGAAACAAATCTTGCCAGTGTTGTCGCTTATGCCAGAGCTAGTGAACTCTTGTGATATTTCATACGAAATTGTAAAAAATATTCAAATTTGAAATCGGCATCAACAATCCAAAAACAGAATAACCCTTATGAACATTCTTTTAAAAGAAAAAAATTGTGTATGCCCCATTGTCATTTTTTACTAGGAAGCCAATTATGGCTCCATGTATATTACAATACATGCTTTTTGAACACTCCATTAGAGGGGCCTGCATTTAAAAATGTCACACACTGTGATTCAGTTCCCTCTAGTGGTAAAAACACTTCCCTTACGGTACTGAAGTTCATTCTTTATTTACCCATAATTGTGAATTGTAACTTCCTCAATAATAGTTTTCAGAAAATTGAAGATGATCTCAATAAGCAGAAACTTAAAAATAAATAAAAAACATCCTTAAAACTGAGCTAGTTCTTAGAACTGGGTGAGGATTCTTTGAAGATTGTATTGATCCATCTGTGAAATAAATGCTATTGTCACAAAAGTACTTTTCCAACAGGCAACGTACTTTGATCCCACCTCCTGGACATTTTGCTTCTCATACAAGAAGCTTTTTCAGTTCTGACTGAATTGGGGGTGGGTGGGTAGGATTTATATTCCTTGCAGTCATCTGGTCATTAGTACTTTCTCTAGTTGTTAAGGCCAATTGGGGGTTTATAAGAGTCACGTGAATCAGACTGCAAATGGGTGTGGAACCTTCTTGGAACTGTATTGTAAACAGGAAATAGTGGTGTTGTATCCCCTCCCCCAGTTGAGAGAGGGTCTCCAATTTTAACCTAGATGGCCTCTTTGATCCCCCTATCTTCAGAAAGTGGACTCTGAAGAAGGGTCAAAGATGCAACAAAAGACCATCTTTTTGCTCAGTAGACTAAATGCCCATGCCAATAAAAGCACTTTTAATCATGCTTATCAATATTTAAAATAACAAAACTAATGATGAAAAAAAGCAATATTAGGTCATCTAGAATATGTAAAAGACTTTTGAACATCAAGAGAAATCAGATAATATATACAGATTTTGACATTTTAGAATTCTATATTTTTTAGTCCTTCAAATTAAACTGAAAGGGTTTGTCATAACCCATAAGGTGACTGTAGTCTTCAGCATAATTAAAATGGAATGGGTTAACAAACATTGCTCTTCTTTTAACATAAAATGTTGTGAACGTCTTGCTCATGTCTGGAACAGTTACATCTTTCTGATGGAATAACATTTGCTTTTCTCTCAAAATGCCACTGTATGTAATTGCTGTATATGTATCTGTTTTATGTTTATGGTACAGACGGATAACATACCTTCTAGTAAATAAATGTAAGAGAAATGGTGTTAGGAAAATAAAGAATAGTGTGGCACTATAATAAGCAATTTCCGAGTAGAGTTTGTCAAAATTTAAGCCATACTTGTGTATGATGGCAAACAACATGGAAGCAGTAATTATGCTGGTGGTAAAACAGAAAATTTTCACTCCTGCAAGAAAAAGAAAAACACCTTAATAGTTAAGAGGTTCAAATTGGCTCCCAACCACATATATGATATACACCAGACAGTAATTCAAGAACTATGCAGTACTGAGATCCATTTACATCCATTTGTTGGGAGGGCCATCTTCCTCCACAGGATTGGCTTCTGAATTGATATAGTTCAGTTAACAGAGCTAAATGAAATATTTAACAATATTTCTGCAATAACAATGCAGAAGTTTGAATGGGAAGACAAAAAGAGGTACCTGCTGCAACTGTCATCACTCCTGTAAAGAAAAACAGCTTTTCCAGGGCTTCCATGACTGGAATGAGCATACTATGCAAATAGTCCAATATATTGCCCATTGTGTGCCTGCTTAACTTTTTGTAATCCCTTCCATTCTAATTTCCTTCTCTGGGGAAACAAGCAATTTCTAAAGCAATTTCTCCTGGGCCTGACTAGTTTTCCCTCCCAACACCCAGAGTAGAGACATTGGAGTGGAAGGGATTACAAGAGAGAGCTCATTTGTTATCAAGTTCCACTTTTTTTTGCTACAAATTGTTACCCTGCCAGGCATCTAAGACATATAACACTGATATGAAGAATGTTTTTAAAAGTTGTTAGTTAGCTTCTGGGTCCAATTTAAGGTGCTACTTATCACCTTTAAAGCCCTTTATGGTATGGATCCAGCCTATCTGAAGAACTGTCTTCTCCCAGTGGGATTGGCCTGGAGGGAATATGGTGCAGACCACATTGGCCAAAGTAATTCAGCTGGCAGGATCCAGGAGAAAAGCCTTTTCTATCCTGGCTCCCACATTTTGGAACATCATGTTCCTCGTGAGGTGTGGCCCTACCCGCTTAGCCTTTAAAAAAGCGCTGAAAACCTGGCTCTGCCAGCTGACTTGGGCCTTTCACTTTGGAGGCGGTTACTAGATTGAGAGAAGATTCCATTTCCATTCAATTTATATATTAGTCCCTTTTTATCTACCCTTGGTTAATTTTAATGTTTCAATCCTTAATGTTTTATGTTTTTATATTATTATAAAATAGTATAGTTGGCATGTATATTTAATGACAGCATAAAAGAATAGATGAAAAAAGAACCAAATATTTTGTTTAAAAAAGGTCTTTGGAAGGCAGTTAAGCCGGCTGGTGTTTCTCATATTGACAATGAAGAACTTGCATTAGTTCCTGATAGCTATGATTAGGAATGAGGGCTGGAGATTGGCATAGTTCAATAAATGAAGACTCGTTTTCTCTTTGCTTTACATTTACGAAAAGTAACATAAGTTTTAAAGAGTTGTATGTTCTACTCAAGTGTTAAGTCCTTATCACTTTAATGAAACTTGTTCCTCCAGATAACTGGACATGAATTTTCATAATTTTCAAAAAGCATGGCCATAAAGGGTGAGAGAATAGTAGTTAGTTGAATCTAGAGAGCATCAAATTGGGAATAAGATACCAGGCAGTATCTCAAAAACCCAGAAATAATAATGTAGTTTGGCTATACTTTGGAGAGGAGTCCCATCTAGCTATTGCTCATTTTTTAGGTGACTGTACATAAAACAGAAAACTTATATTCAGAACATTAGAACATATTTATATCATACAAAGATGCCAGGAAATTCATTTCTATTTGTTTACTTAGGTTTAATTCAAGGCAGCAGAGAACCTTGTTTAAACTCAAATACTTCCTAGATTAACCCCCTCTATCCACCAGCATTTTTCCTTCCAGCCATTGAGTTCCCCAATAGACTAAAAGGAGCCATCAAGATGTTCCACAAGAATGTTTAGGCAGGAGAAACATGTAACAGTCACAAATGCCTGGGTTAAGCTATTACAATAAGGAGTACTTAAATAAGATATTCAAATACATTAACAAATTCATAGTTACACACTTTACATGCATTTCTGTATGACAAGAATTCTCTCATGAAAAAGTTTTTTTTAAAAAACCACAACAAATCCCAACACGCTTACCTAATACAGTTCTTGATAAACTTCCAGAATAAATTAATTTTCCATATTCTGAATGTTCCTCCAGGGATGATGTACCAAAGCGACATACAGACTCTGCATGGAGAAATGGAACCTAGGGGCCAAATACCATATAATCATCTGTATCAACATCTCTTCCAGTAAGTTTACTCATATATCAACACATACACACACACACATATGCATGCATGGAGACATGCTTTCTTCTAGCAACTAATTTAAATAACGATCCTGAGATTGGCAAGCTACTGCCCTACTTCTAACCACGTTTCTCTTTGTTATGTGAGTGATGTATGGACCACATGAAAAATTAAGATGCCCAGTCCATGATTCAGATATATTTATTGTGTTAAGACTTATATGGCCACCTATCTTCTGCAATATAATCTTGGGCAGCCAACAACTGCAATAAAGAAAACGTAACAAAATTAAAGCACCTACAAACACCTTTTAGATGAACCTCCTTAATAATTAGCAATTTCCACTCTATGGAACATGTTTGCTGCTAGGATTTCAAATAAGCAGCAACAAAAGCATTTTGAAGTATTTCCTACCAAATTAAAACTAAACTGTTTGCTTATATGTCCTGGTAGAAAAAGAAAATAAGATACACGTCTCAGATTTTGTTTCCACTTTCCTGCTGCTATTGAGCTATAAAACCTCGATCTCTTTTATCCCAAGCGTTCTTCGGTTGAGCACAGGCAGCACGGATCATCCACTTGGTGGCTCAGGAATTCTGGGACCTGCACTCCGCACATCTTAAAGCTATCGAGGTTCAGAATCACCGGATTATAACACTGATTGTAAATCCCCACATGCAACAACCTGCAGGCCAGGAGCCACGGTTTAAACCCGTTGCAGGCTTTCTACGGTAAACTTCGCCCTCCCTCGCCGTGTAAGGAAGCACTGTTCCCTGCAGCACCTACCTGCTTGTTTTCCCCCAGCCAAAACCGGGATGCAAACGCTCGGGGCGAACTAAGCGGCGTTAGCAGTTTGCAATGGGAAACCGTGAAGGGCTGGCGCTTCTCCGGGATTCCCGTCGACCTCTTAGCCGACTGGAGCACCCTACATCTTCCCGCGCTTTGCTGCCACAGTTTTAGGCCGGGAGCGTGGAGCCTTAACCCGACCAGCAGCAACATCTCGGCCGAGGGAAGCCAAAGCTACTAAGGAAAGCAAACCGAACGCAGCTGCAGGGCCTCCCCTTCCGGCCTACAGAGGCCGAAAGCGGCGTTGGGAAAGCTACTGCAACGCGCCGCTGTGGGAGGAGCGCGACGTTTCAAGTTCAGCGCCCCTGCCTGAAGGTGGGGCTGAAAGGCGTTTGAAAATTACTGGCGTCCCGATAAAAGGCAAAGAACCCGACTTTTCCCAGCAAAGGAAATGGGAGTCCCGGATGAAGTGCCGCTCTTCAAGTGGTTCTGGGGGAAAAGGAGCTCGAGAGACGATGGAAAGATGGTGGAAGAAGCAATTTGACTATTTAAATAAAAAATACCAATGACAAATGAATCAAAAATGCACCATGGGGAAACTAACATAAACTTTGGGAATATTCCCCAATATGTAAACATGCTGCAAGGGAGTCCGTCTGTTCTGTACCTGGAATAAAATGGGGTTTTTTTTAGAAATGGGGGAAAATAAGACTAGGAAATAAAAAACATAGCCTTTGAGATCTTAAACATTTATATGAAGCTTACATGTTTTAGTTACAAAACTCCGTTCTCTGGTAGGACCAATATTTACAATTTAATCTTCAACTTTGTTAAATCAGGTATTAAAATTGATTACAACTGAATATACAGGTGAAACTCAAAAAAATTAGAATATCGTGCAAAAGTTCATTTATTTCAGTAATACAACTTAAAAGGTGAAACTAATATATGAGATAGCCTCATTACATGCAAAGCAAGATGGTTCAAGCCGTTATTTGTCATAATTGTGATGATTATGGCTTACAGCTCATGAAAACCCCAAATCCACAATCTCAGAAAATTAGAATATTACATGCAATCAATAAAACAAGGATTGTACATAGAACAATATCGGACCTCTGAAAAGTATAAGCATGCAGATGCACTCAGTACTTGGTTTGGGCCCCTTTTGCAGCAATTACTGCCTCAATGAGGTGTGGCATGGAAGCTATCAACCTGTGGCACTGCTGAAGTGTTATGGAAGACCAGGATGCTTCAATAGTGGCCTTCAGCTCTTCTGCATTGTTCAGTCTCATGTCTGTCATCTTTCTCTTGGCAATGCCCCATAGATTCTCTATAGGGTTCAGGTCAGGTGAGTTTGCTGGCCAATCAAGCACAGTAATCCCATGGTCACTGAACCAGGGTTTGATGCTTTTGGCAGTGTGGGCAGGTGCCAAGTCCTGCTGGAAAATGAAGTCAGCATCCCCATAAAACTCGTCTGCTGAAGGAAGCATGAAGTCCTCCAAAATCTCCTGGTAGACAGCTGCATTGACCCTGGACTTAATGAAGCACAGTGGACCAACACCAGCAGATGACATGGCTCCCCAAATCAACACAGATTGTGGAAACTTCACACTGGACTTCAAGCTTCTTGCAGTGTATGCCTCTCCGTTCTTCCTCCAGACTCTGGGTCCTTGGTTTCCAAATGAGATGCAAAAGTTGCTCTCATCAGAAAAGAGGACTTTGTACCACTGAGCAACAGACCAGTTCTGTTTTTCTTTAGCCCAGGTAAGATGCTTCTGACGTTGTTTGTTGTTCAGGAGCAGCTTGACAAGAGGAATATGACATTTGAAGCCCATGTCCAGGATCTGTCTGTGTGTGGTGGTTTTTGATGCACTGACTCCAGCCTCAGTCCATTCCTTGTGAAAGTCCCCAACACTTTTGAATGGCCTTTTCCTGACAATCCTCTCCAGACTCCGGTCATCCCTGCTGCTTGTGCACCTTTTTCTTCCATTTTTCCCTTCCACATAACTTTCTATTAATGTGCTTTGATACACACTTTGAGAACATCCAACTTCTTTTGCAATTACCTTTTGAGGCTTTCCCTCCTTATGGAGGGTGTCAGCGGTCTTTCCCATGATTGTGATTCCTATTGAACCAGACTGAGAGACCATTTAAAGGCCCAGGAACCCTTTGCAGGTGTTATGGCTTAATTAGCTGATTAGAGTGGGACACTTTGAGCCTAGAATATTGAACCTTTGCACAATATTCTAATTTTCTGAGATTGTGGATTTGGGGTTTTCATGAGCTGTAAACTATAATCTCAATTATGATGCTTGAACTATCTTGCTTTGCATGTAATGAATCTATCTCATATATTAGTTTCACCTTTTAAGTTGTATTACTGAAAATAAATGAACTTTTGAACGATATTCTAATTTTTCGAGTTTCACCTATAAAATTGTGGAAGGATGTAGCACACAAATACACACACAAAGTGTTATTGGTTACAGAAATGTAGGTTTAATTATCCTGTAAGAACAGCTTTTCATAGCCCAATATTCTGCTGTCCTAATTCACAACTATTCTAATCACACTATGAGAAAGCATCAGATTGAGGAAGGTAACTTTGAATATTTGCCAAATTAGGATGAAATGTTAGTGAGAAATATATTGAATATAAGGATTAAAAAACAATGAAGAAACTATTGGCTAATGAATAAATGTTCTACATATTCTTCCTACTTGGTGAAATAAACTAGGAAGTCTTGCAACAAGTCTATTTTGACTTAATTTTTTTATGAGAATATTTCCCATATTATGTTTTGACTTTAAGTTCAAGAATATAGTATATCTAGTTTTCCAAATAACTATTGACTCATAGAGGTGGTTTCATAGTTTCCTTTAAGCTTTCTGGTGCTGCAACAATAGCCCTTCTGATTAAAATTCAATGCAAAAAAATTGAATAATCTATAAACACCCCCCTCCCCCCAAAAACCCCTATGTTAATCATGTAACATATAATCTTCAAAGGTTGGGTTGAGCCTGAACCCGTTGCTCCAATGTTTCCACAATGTTTTTCAAACGTTCTTCATCGTTGAAGAAGAACACGCAGAGTTTTCTTTCCATCTCCTGTACTTTATTATTCTCCAAGATGTCCTTCTTAGCTTTTATATCAGCAAGAAAATCTGTAATAAGCTGATTTATTTTATTCAACTGGAATTCCAGCTGCTGAGACTGTTCAGACAGTTGCTAAACATGAGAGAAATACAACAGTGAGTTCAATACACGTCTGTCCCATTATACCCTAGAAATTTTTTCATATTAACTCTTTTATTTAGGCAATCGTGAACTTTTTCTGCCCATATATTTTTGAAATATGGTTCTTTAAAATTAAAACTCGGAATATCTTTGCATATTCCTGTAAATCAGGAATATGAAAATTTTAATATGATTCTATAGGCCAACTATTACTGGTCATTGGCAAGAATCTTCTGCTAAATAAAAAGCTATGGTCCACAGTGTGTCATAGATTTGGAAGGATTTAATTTTGCCTACCAGTTTTGTGATAGCTGACTAAACAGTTTAGATTAGACACATCAAAGTTATGTGAATAAGGTACTTTCTTATAATTACAATATTAACTGTACTGCTGAATACTCCATGAAACCCCCATCACAGGTGATTATAATCAAATTACTTACCTGATTACTAAGGCACACACTTTCTCCTTTGCAGTATATAGAATCATGAAGAATTGTTAAATCAGCATCCATCTTTGACAAAAGATGATTTTGTTCTTGGCCAGCTAACACTAATTGGTCAAGCACTGATACTGAATCCAAATGTAACTTTTCAGCCATCTCCTCAAGCCTTTCATATGTTCTAAATAATTGTTTTGGATTCCTTCCTTCCAGAAGTTGACACATCCTTAAAAATATGTATAGAGGTGGGATAAAAATACAACAAAATTAACAATGCCAGTATTTCTGCAACAGTAAAGCATAACATATTACATTATTTAAAAAAAATCTGTAAAGTCCGGTGCAAATATAGCAGTACAAAAGGTTGGGCCTTTGCATCTATATTATCCTTGGTTCAAGAGTCATGCTTGACATTATTTCTTGTGCCACCACTGGAATTCATTAATTTAAATAAATAAGACCAAACCCAGGCAAAGTAGGGCTAACTTTGGAAAATATCCAATATCAGGCAGCTATTGTATTGTATATATTAATACAGGGAGAACATTAAATGATCCAATGTTCTTGGCTGAAATGTTACCAAAGTTAGATGAAAAAGTACATTTGGTGCAAAATGTAATATCCACATATTCTTTTATTCAAGGAAGGAAGTAAATTATATTCTTCAATCCAAATAACAAAATCCCCAAATACTTGTATATTAAAAGTGAACTCAGAAACTGTTTATGGGATGGGAAGTGAGATGAATCCATTGATTTTGAAGGTCATCTCCATTTTAGCTTTCTATATACCTCTATAGAAAAATCGTCTACTCACCTGACAATAAGTTTTCATGCAAGTATTCAGGTTAACAACTGCTTACCTAGAAACAACTTAAAATACTGTACAATAAAAAGAAAGTAAATGTCTATTTTGAGTTCATACAAACATAGGTAGTCCTCAACTTATGACCACAAATTGAGCCCAAATTTTCTGTTGCTGAGACATTTGTAAAGTGAGTTTTTCCCCCTTTATGGCCTTTCTTGTCTTTCTTGCCACAATTGTTATGTGAATCACTGCAGTTGTTAAGTTAGCAACACGGTTGTTAAGTGAATCTGGGTTGCCCATTGACTTTGCTTGTCAGAGCACAAAAGGTGATCACATGAGCAAGGGACACTGCAGCCATCATAAATACGAATCACTTGCCAAGCATCTCAATTTTGATCACATGATCATCGGGATGTGGAAACAGTCATAAAGGTGAAAAACAGTCATGTTGCTTTTTTCAATGCCAATGCAACTTTGAACAGTCACTAAATGAACTGTTGTAAGTCGAGGACTATCTGTACATACTAGATGTACAATATATGCTGGCTTAGAATAGTGACCAATAAGACTCACTAATTTCAAACAAATTATTTTTATGTTTCGGCCTGAGATTTATTTATTGACAACAGGCCTTACGTTTCAAATAACCCAGCTTCTTACCTATGTGCTGCAATATTCTTTGGCTCAACAGTGTTTCTTGGTGTCCTTTGAAGGGCTGTAGAAGGCTCAGACATTGTTTCTATTGTGCGTACTAAAACGTCATTGCTTAATTTCAGGTCTTGTACCGTATTTTCCAGCAGACGGCTGTTTTCCCTAAGTTTTCGAAATTCAATTTCATATGCCAACTGAAGAAATTCAAACGATGCCTTCTGTTTGATTAGCTGGTTACAGATCTGATCCTGCCTAGATATATAGTAGTCCTGTCGAGCAATTTGTAAATCAAAATCCCCTTTAACCACAGGCATATTCAAGAGCTCTGCGTTCTCCTTAATCAGCGAAGGTAGGGTTCCACTGTTTATTTGCGATAAATCTATTTTTATTTTTGCAATGTCATTATTCAAGCTAGAAATTTTAGCTTCAAAGTTTTCTTTTCCATGAATCTGCAAAATAGAGAAATGGTTTCTGAGTTTTTGTTTAAATGTATTCTTATTGGTTAAGTCTTGAATTCCAGAAGTTCCCCTCTAATTATTTTGAGGGGATAAATATATTTGTACATATTTACAATACTGTTCCATTCCTTTTCCTTCTCATTTCTGCCTATCTCACAGCATCCAACAGAGTTGAGGTGCTCTAGGTCAACAATTGAACAATGTCATCTTGTAAGAAGCATACCTTCTCTATCACAATGCCTGATCTATGGAATACATCCTAACCCAATTCTGGCCTTTAAAAATTCCCCAAAGACCTAGCTCTTCTACCATGCTCTGAGTCAGGATAATATATATGTCTGTTGCAATTACTTGAAGTCTGTGGTTTTCCCTAAATAAGTGTGTTTTATTTTCATTGCCTTCTTTACATATTGTGACGTATTTAACCCTTACTAGCTGCTCAGAATCATTTGACAAGTGGTCCGCTATATTAATTGAATACATTCCATAACATACTATATTTTGAAGTATAATTACAATTACCCATCTTTAAAATCTGTGTTTGCTGTAGACCTGAGATAGTGAGAAATATTTTTCAAAACTTCATTTATCAATCTCTTTATAATTATTTTATTCACACTATAATGGACTTTAGTATTAATGGGTTGTTGAAAGGCACCATAATAGATTGCAACAAAAACTATTCTATGAAGCAAATTCAGCCAGCCATATAAGGATGGAAACTTTTAGAAGTCTTTTGTTTTATCAAATATTTCTCACTTCACCCATCAAGTTCCAATATTACTGATTGATACTGACCTCACCAGAGTTTTCGTGTAGATATTGAATAGGAAGGGACACAACACTGAGCCCTGTGGTATCTCACAAATGAGGGGCCTGGGGAGCTATTTCTCCCACCCCTGTATCCACTGAAGTTGGCCCTAAAGGAAGAGAATGGTTTCTCCAATTCCCAACTGCTGAAACCATGGTTGATGTACTAAACCCAAGAGATTAAGGAGCACAAGAATAAATGAATCTCCTCCATCCTAGCACAGGTCATCTATGAGTATGACCAAGATTGTCTCTGTACTAAATCATGGCCTGAAATCTAACTGAAACAGGCCTAGATAATCCACTTTCTCCAAGGCGCTCTACAGCTACAGATTACATTTTCAACAACCTTCCCTAAAAAGGGGAGATAACTGTTTGAAAGTATTGGCTCCAGGGATGAATTCTTAAGCAGGGGTCCAACCATTGCCTTCTTCAAATCTTTTGATATTACCCCCTCCTTCAATTACCATTCTCTAATGGCACAGCCACAGAGAATCCTATTTACTTCAAAAATCACTGATTCAAACTCATTCCAGCTCACACCTCAAAACCAGCCAAGTTCAACTCAGCATGGATCTGAGCAACTCATACTTCATTTTCAGGATTAATCTATTCTAAAATGCCAAATGAGTTTGCTCAAAATAATGAGTGCCAACCTATGGAACACTTAAGAGGATGACATGTTCAAATAACTCACTATGAATTAAAATACCATTTAAAACCATATCTTTAAGGTAATAGTATTAATTAAGCCTTATGCAAAAACCACCTTACCTTTTTTAAAGTACTGATATTTTTCTCTGCCCACTGAAGACCTGATCTCATACTTAGATTCTTAGCTTGCTGTTGAATTAATTGATGCTGGGCACAAATATATGCCATTTGCAACCTAGCCAGTTCTGATCTTTCATCACATATATCACTGCTTCCCTCATAATTGGAGGACTCACTTATATGTACAAGTTGAAAATTTTCTTCATTAGAACTTTCCACCAATTCAGATATACCCTGGAAAAACTGTTTTTTTGTATAGGAAGTAAGAGCTCCAGTGCTTTGTTCTTCTTGATACAAATAATTATATAAAGGAAGTTGGGTTAGCAGCACAGGATGAGAATCCAGGTCTTGTCCAGCTGCAAAAAAAGAAGCAAGTTTCTTAACTCCTTCAGTTAGGGTTTGAAGCTCATTGTTTATCTTTATGTTCATGGCTGTAAAGTTCCCTTGACCATCTTTCAGCATTTTAAGTTCTTCCTCACCTCTTTCTTTAACCTTTAAGGAGAGAAAACTATTACCCGAAGCCATGATTTGAAGTTTGTTACGCCGATGAATCTTTATCTGTGTAATCTTTTTAAGAGCTTGAAATTCATTTTCTAACATTTTAAGGGTTTCCTCTTCTTCCTCACAATTGTTAGTGTTCAAATCAAGAGGCTTGGAAATCTTGAGAACTTCATTGAGAGCTTCTTCTCCTAAAATAGGTTTTGATGATTTTTGGAGAGCATTAAATGCCTGCAACTCCTCTTCAGATAATACATTATGTTCATTCAAAGCTGTACAGAACCACTCCAGAAATGACTTATTTTCCAACGTTTCAAATAACCAGTCAAAGTCTTCTCCATTAAGTGAATTTGCCTTAAAGTATCCTGTCCGCTTTAGAATTTCAACAAATCTAGCTCCACCATCCATAACTGACTTAACTTGTTGATGCTGGATATTGCAGGTGTTCTCTACCACATTTTCAAGTGTTTCTAGTAAAGAAAAGTACGGGATACTGAAAATAAATTACTTTTATAAAGACCTGTATTTTGTCAATTTATTTAGAAACCCATGGCATGGTTTCAAATCAATTAGAATTCTTCATATTGATAACAAAGCATTTCAATAGTCAGTAGTAAAATAATGCAGAAATGAAACTGGATGAGTTAAGAAAAAATCCCACTGAGTCTTTCTAGGAGACAAGTAAATTGCTTTAAACTGCAAAAAAAAAAAAAAAAGTTCCTTTCTACGCATTTTTTTTATTAAAGTCCCTTTTCTTACTTCTCCCCTTACTTGACATTAATCCCCAGTGTCTTTCCTTAGATTTATTACCTGGTGATCGCAAGAATCCACCCGCGAACGATTCAAAGGGATTTGTAAGGCTGAAGAGCACTCGCGTACCAAAGCAACCCGCGCCAACCTCGGGGAAGAGGAGCTGCACTGCTTTGGCGGGCGAGGGTGGAGAGGAGTTCAAACTTCCGCCTTTTCATAACTTGCTCCCAGAGCCTCGCGAGAGCCCGCCACATTGTCCCGAGTTCATTGAGTTTAACGCTGATCTCAGAATGGAATGATTCAACTTAATTAAAAACGAATTCATTTAATTAAAAATTAAAAGTGGCGCCATAAGAATCCGCATCTAGTTACTTTAGGGGACGGTCTTTTCCCGTTATATCCAGTACACAGATTCCTCTCTTAGTCTAAAACAGCGTTTTTCAAAATTGTCAACTATAAAACAAGTTTACTTCAACATTTCATGCTGGCTGGGGAGTTCTGAGAGTTGAAATCCACACATCTTAGAGTTGCCAAGTTTGAAAAAAAAAAACAGATCTAAACGTTATAAGGAAATTAATCAAGTATTACAATTTATAGTGTGACATTCTCGGCACAAGACCGAGGTTATTCAAGTCTTTTGCCCCAGATTTTTGTCAGCAGATCCCCATGTGGGTATATGAGGAAGAATAAGTGCCTTTGCTTATATCCATATGAGATTTAAACAACATATACATACTGGGATGGAGTGGTGGGAAGTGTCGGATTAGCACCCGAGAGACACAGGTGCGGCTCTGCTTTCAGCAGGGAAGGGGATCACTCTATCTACTTTACAGAGCGAGCAAGCCCGACGTAGCTCTAATAATTCAAATCTGTATAGGGCCACTCGTTGGCATTTTACAATGCCGTTAGTATTGTAACTCCACTTCACCCTCCAGTCATTTGAGTTACTGAAGAAAGGATTCTCCCAGTTGCTGCTCCCACAGCGTGTTACTCTACCTTATATATCTCTATCGTATTTGTTTCCCTCCTTGCGTTTCGGAAACCGGAAATCGTTTCGGTGACCTACAGGAAGTGGTTTCTGCGGAGGATTGTCCCGGCCGGAGTGGTGTCGTGCCTGAGCAGCTGCCTCGCGGATTTCTGCGGCTGGGAAGCGGTGAGTTGTTGGAGCGCTCGGCCTGGTAGACACTTTTCTTTCTTGCGTGTTTCGTTCGTCACGAGGACTCGCCGTGAGAAGGGGCTGGTGTCGATGCTGGGGCGGAAAGTCACTTAATGCCCGGGCTTGAATCTCTTCAACCAGCCTTCCTCAACGGTGCTTCGCATTGCCCTGGGGAAGCCGGTCTTGCCTGTGATAGGTGCCCTCTTAAAAGCACCCCGTGTCTTATTTTCCTCCCTGAACCCCCCCGAAAATTACTTCTTTTTCTCAGAGCTGCCACGTCTCTAGACAACTGTTTGTGAAAAGCACCCTGTAAGAGTTGTCCCGCCTTCTTCCCTTTCAGTAAGGACTAAGAGGAGTTTACGTCAATTTTTCTGTTGGCTTCAGCTCTTTATTGTTTGTGAAACACCTGGATGGATTTTTTTTCCTCGGGCTGACCTCGCCACACGCATTTTTTCTATCATTTCTTTTCCTCCATTGTCTAAGCATTCTTCTCTGCTCCCCCCCTCCCATTATGATTAAAATAAAATGGGCCACTCTGATAGCAAGATATCCATAACTCAAATATTGGTGTAGCTTAGAGATCAAGCATGGTAGTTTTGATAATGTGATAGTATTCATCTCACTCTTCTAAAATATGTTCTTTGTCTTCAATTCCCAATATTTTTCAACATTATTTAACATATGATCCATGCAATAAGAATACAGATTATACTATATGTGAGCCTTCCAGACTCCTACCAACTGCCTGGATTTCTGCAGGGTTTTGTTTTTTTTAGCAAGCTTTAAGAAGTGGTTTACTATTGCATTCTTCCTAGAACTGAGAGAAAGTGACTCTCCCGGTCACTCAGCTGTCTTTGTAACTAAGGCAAGACTAGAAACCACAGTTTTCCAGTTTCTAGCCTGGTGCCTTAACCACTGCACCAAACTGACTTATAGTACATATAATGCTAGAAAATTAGATACAGTAATACACTATGTATCAAAGCCAAATCACACATATCACCCTTCTCTTAATATAGATCATTCTAAGTGTATAATATTAGGACTGAACTGCTTCAAATTCCACAGCTAATGTAGCTGTTGTGCTAGGTAAAAATTCTAAGAATTATGGATCTGAATAGTACCATAAGAGGAAGAACCACCTATATAGTGTCCCTTTGTGTGTGCACAAGCAACAAAAACATCTTTTCAGATTCAGTTTGGTGAAACTAATTTTGATTCAGATTAAATTAGCAATTTACAACCTAAGATTTAGACATCTAAAATCTCATAAAAACACAAGTCAGTCCAAGTTTATCGTTGTGTTTTTCACAATGGCAAGCAGTGCCTTTAGATTTCTTGCAATCAGGAGATGGCGGAATAACCCTTATCACCATTGCTCTGAGATTGGTATTTTGGAGGTATTTGAGTCTCAAGATTAAAAGCCCTGGATGTATCTGTCCTCTATGAAGTTATCCAAATCCTTTTTAAACTATCCAGGCTAGTGGGCATTATTACATCTTATGCTAATTAATTCAAAAAGAATTTTACAGTTCTTGTGAACTAGGAAGAGCAACCCAAAATAACTAAAATTTTAAAAATGTTTATCTGATATACATTTATATATTTAAAAGGCAACGTGTATAATTTTGTGCAAAATTAGATTAAATATTTCAGTAGTAGTATTATTCTACAGGAATAATACCTTCCAAACATTCAAATAAATTGGTGAAGGGTTTTGTGCAAAGTGGCATTCAAAGTCATTTTCTTTGCCCAGTGCCAGTTGTGTTGGTATACTGATCAATTGACAAAGCAGATATTGATGCAATATATAGGTATGGACAGGCATTTCTTAATGTCAGTTGTTTTACTCAATAGGTAGATCATGGAATTAGCCGATAGCAAGACTTGTGTTTTGATTCCCAACTTGGCACATCATAGACTTAACCAATGTTAAACAATTAAGCTCTCTTTCTATGTGTATTTCAATTTTAAACAAAATCCCTATCTCTGTATAGTATAGAGCAGGGGTTGCCAACCTTTTGGATCCCAGGGCCCACCAAATTCATACTTTTAAATCCCGAGGACCAGTAATATGATTTTTTAAAAAAGCTAATATATTTAATATAAAATTTTTATATTAAATATAAATTTAATAACATATTTATATATTTATTTATTTATTAAACACACACACACACACACACACACACACACACACACATTTAATTATAACAAAAATGTAAATGTTTAATGATAAAAAACGTTCCGGGCTGGAAGCCTCCCCCCACCTGCACCTTCCAAAGAGACAGAAGAGCCTTTCAGATGCCAGGTGGAGGATTGAGAGAGCTCAGATCTGCAGCTGAGGAAAAGCTGGGGAGGGGGGAGGTGGCTCTTCCAGGCTCTCCTGGAGACAGGCAAGGAAAGTGTCTCTGGGAGCACTTCGCTCACTTTAGCACTTCACTGCCAAACCCATTTTAAATTTTTTTACTAATTGGTTAATTTTATCTGTCTGTGAGATCTTGTATCCTCCTCTAGTTCTATCTATCTTTAAACCAAGATAATGTTTGATGTCTCCTAATTGTTTTATTTTAAATTTCTTTTCCAATAGTGAAATTATCTCAGTAGCTTCTTGTTCAGTTTTGGTGATTAATGCTATGTCATCAGTAAATAATAGCAACAATGACACTACACCATTATTTTCTCTTTTAAACAAACATGGATCAGCCATGCCAGCTACAAAACCTATCTTAGTTAATTCTTTAACTATACATTGGTTCCACTCATATCCTGATTGCTTTAAACCATAAAGACTCTTTTTCAATCTCCAGCAATCAGTTGTATTATCATTTTTGAGACCTAAAGGTTTCTTTAAATATGTAGTGTGTTACATCGGTGCATGCAGATATGCTGTCTTTACATCCAAATGATTTATAATGTATTTTTCCTTAGCTGTCCACACTTAATGTAGTAGCCTTCAGACTAGTTGCAAACATCTCATTGTAGTCATTTGCTGTCTGATTAAATCCTTGTGCTACTAACCTGGCTTTATGGGTAACAGTCCCATCTACACCTGTCTTTAGCTTATATATCCATTTACACCCTATGGCATGTTTACCTGGTGGTAACTTAACGTTTTCGTATACTTCCAGTCTTTTTAATGATTCCAGTTCCATATCCATTGCTTTCTGCCAAGCACCCTGATCCTTAGCAGGATACATTTTCAGTTAACTATAATTACTTGGAACTGTATTTACTTGGCATACAACACTAGCCTGATATCTATCAGGTGGTCGTGTTACTCGGGTTGAACGTCTTGGTAATACAGGGCTAACTGGTGGACTTTCCTGTGCCACCTGCTCCTGTTCTTCTATCTCCTCCTGTGCCTGTTCTCCTACTTCCTCCTGTACTTCCTCTTTAATGGCTATTTGTGGTTTACTTATTTTATCTTTAGGAACTATTTGGGTGTCAATAATAATATCATTTCTGGATTCCTGTTCCAGTTTATCCTACCCAATGTGCTCAAGAAATTTTGCATTAGCACTACAATAAACATGAGCTGTGCCTTGATCCCAGAATCTAAACGATCTATGGTTGGCCTCATAACCCACAAAAAATAATTTCTTAGCTCTATGTTGCCCTTTCAGTCTTATTTGTGAGGGAATATGCACTCATGCTGGAGCTCCAAATGTGTGTAGGTAACTTAAATTTGGTTTTCTGCCATGCCAACGAGTGAAGGGCAATTCTCCAGTTGTTGTATTAACTACATTGTTCAAAACATGGTTACTACACATTATGGCTTCACCCCACAGTGTTTCAGGTAAACATGAATCAGATAACATAGTGCGAGCCATGGCTTGTAATGTTTGCCCTCTTCGTTCTACAAACGAGTTATGTTGTGGTCTGTAAGGTGCAGAACGTTTATGCTCAACACCAGCCAATTTCAACATAGTTTGGAATCTTTTGTTAACAAACTCAGTCCCATTATCAGTAACTAAAGTAATTACTTTACTCTTCATTTTTCTCTCAGCAAACCTTAGCCAGTTAAAGAAATGTTGGAATGTTTCTGTTTTGTTTTTCATAAGATAGCAGAAACCGTATCGTGAGTAATGATCCATAATACTCAAAATATAACAGGCACCTCCTAAACTTAGTTTCTTAGGACCAATTATGTCAGCAAACACAACCTCTAAAGGTTCTTTGGTCTTAAACCCATTTAGTCTGTTTGCAGGAGTAACCTTACTCTTCTATTGGCTACAAGCATTACAGTTTAAATACTTGTTACAGGGTTTCAATTTTACTCCCTCTGACAATTCAACAGTTTGAGCGTTTTGAAATTAATGTGCCTTAGACGTCTATGCAGTAAATGTATACATTCATCATGTGGCTTTACATTGTTATAAACTGAGTTAGCCATCTTCAACTGATCATCATGTATCACATATAAATCATTCTCTAAAGTAGCAGTAACACTTTTACCCTCTTTCTCTATTATACAGTTATCTCCCCTAAAGGTTACTACATAACCAAGATTAACTAAAGCCCTTACTGATAATAAATTAAATTTCAGTTTAGGTACATATAACATAGTTAAATGTTCATTTATACAAGAACAATATACAGTACCTTCACCTGATGCTTTAATCTTCCATCCATTTGCCAATGATACATGTTGTTTACTTGTGGACATCTTTACAAATCTTTTTCTATCTTTAGTAATGCCTTGTGATGTTCCACTATCAACAACCCACAAATCATGGTTTACAGTTGAATTGCTAGACATAGCTACACTAACATTCTTCTTGGCCTTCTGGTGTTTACTAGTATTCTGTTGTTTTCCCTTCTTACAGAATTTAGCTATATGTCCCCTAGCCCCACAAGAAAAACATTTCCTAACAGTATAGGCAGTTGAAGATAAATCCTCTTCTTGTGGTTTTTCCTTTCTCAGTTGGTCTCTATCCAGCCGTCTTCTTGCTTCTTCTAACAACCTTCCAGTTATGTCAGTCAATGTCAGTTTATCTCTGGGCAGGACTTCCAGTGAAAATACATAATCATCATAACTTTCATCCAATGAGGAAAGAATGATGTAAACTTGATGCAGCTCTGAAAATATCAGTTCCTTTTCATGTAGCTTTTGAAAAGGTCTTTTCATGAAGTTTAAATGAGCTAACATATCTCTACCTTTCAGAAGACGTGCTCTAAACAGTTTACGTGTAAGATGTATTTGTGCACCTACACTGTCATGAACATAAATCCTCTTCAAACTCTCCCAACACTTAGCAGCAGACTCTTCTCCACAAATATGGACTAGCTGCTGGTCACTCATTGTTAGTCCAATTATACAAAGAGCTCGTTCGTTCTGTTTAAAGTCAGCAAGCTTCTTGGCATTGTCCTCATTATTTGGATCCCAAGCATTTACATCCGGTGGGTCTTGAACTACATTCCATAAACCTTCTCTACGCAGAAGTAGACTGCACTTCATAGACCAGGAAACATAGTTTGTTCCATCCAACCGGGTTATCAGTGATAGACTTGTTGAAGTGACTTGTGCCATCTTTACCAGGATAGTAACCCACAATTAAACAGTAAACAGCTGTCTGTATACAGTACTGTGTATTCACATCAACTCTCAGTTATCTGAGCCTGGTATGGCCTGGGCCCATAACCAGTGTTGAGGTAATTCCCCATTAGGAGAATGAGCGCATACAGAGAGACGTATTTGAGAGTAGTGTTTGAATAATACACATACACAGCACACAGATACACAGTAAATGTAGATTTTTACTTCCAGAAACGTTAAGCAAAGTCCAAACAAGCAATCCAAAGTCATTCACAGGTAAATCAGTCAGTTTTCAATGCAGGGATAATTCAATAACGAAGTCCAGTGTCAAAAAACAGTTCAGTATCAAATCCATGAATATCAGTCAATTAGGAAAAATGGAGGAACAGCAATACTCTCCAACAGAAGGAAAAAGAGAGACTCACTCAGACACACTCTCTTCTGAGACTAACACTAAACAACCCAGGTTTCTGGCTCCATCTTATGGCCGTTTGAGTAACCACACCCAATTGCAGTTTTTAGCATGCTCTTAAAGATACAGTTTTAAAATGTTTATCCTGGTTTATATATTTCTAACCCAAATAGCTGTTAGGTGACTTATATTCCTAACAGAGGTCTTCTAGTCCAACTCCCTGCTTGAGCAGGAGACCCAGTACTATTTAGCCAGGTAACTGTCCAGTTTCTTCTTAAAAGCCTCCAGTGATGAAGCACCCACAGCTTCTGAAGGGAAACTGTTCTACTGGTTGTTTTCACAGTCAGGAAATTTTATAAAAGCTTATATAAATATAGTCTTCCCGCACTCTTAGTGCAATCTGTTTAATCAAGCTATTATGTGAAAACACAGGATGTCGTACACTTCACCATAAAGTAAATGGATAGACAGTCAATCAGTCAATCAATCTTTCACATACTATTTTTATTAAAAATACCTAACTGGATTTTTTTGACCAGGTGTAACCTTGATTTTCTGAATAAATCTTCCTTCTGGCAAAAATACTGCCCATATTATCATAATTACCAATAAGGAACATTTGTATTCTTATATTTTTACATAAAGTATATCAATATTATGTTTATGTGTTTACATAGCTATATAAATATAGATATATTCTTGAATTTACAGGTATATTCTATGTTCTATAGCTGTGATGGAGAACCTATGGCACGCGTGCCAGAGGTGGCACGTAGAGCCCTCTCTGTGGGTACGCGAGCTGTCATCCCAGCTCAGAACTGCTGCACATGCATGCACGTACCTCCCGCCAGCCAGCTGATCTTAGAGTCTCTGCCATGCATGCATGGGGGCAGGGGGCATGCGTGGGGGATGCATGCACATGCATGGGGCGGGGCATATGCCGGGGGTGGGATGCGCAGGGGTGAGAATGCACATGCATGTGGGGGGACTCACATGCGTGGGATGTGCGTATTGCATTTTGGGGAGGCACGCATGCTTTGGGCACTCAGTGCTGAAAAGGTTAGCCATCACTGTTCTATAGGCTACTTTCACAAAGTGACATCTATGACTAGAACCCAGCCACACTTAATCCAACCATTTTACCACCCGGGCGCTCTTTGCAAGCAATGCCATGGATGTTTACCTTTCTAAACACTTATCCTTGGCCTTTAGATTGTAGGAGATATAATCCAATATATCTGATAGGTATTAAGTTCTGGAAGACTGAATTAAATAATCTAACATGCTTGTTACTGATGATGTTGTCTAGTTTGGGTAATGAAACATCTGCAAGAAAACAACCAAGCTTAGAAAGCACCAAACAACCAAGCTTAGAAAACAGCAACCCTGAGCTATACACATTCTCATTTATCAGTTTGTCTCTTATTTTGATAACATTTACCATAATTTGAATGTCTATTAAAAGGCCTTCAGGAAAACTTTACTCAGTTAATCTCCAGATAACGTCATAGAATAATCTATTTAATATAAAATAGTTCTTGGATTGTGACAGCAATTGAGAGTGGGATTGCCATTGTTAAATGATGCAGTCACAAAATGTAGTGTCACATGACCATCACTTAGCAATGGCAATCTTGGCAGGTCTGGTGGCTATTTTGTTAACTGAAGACGTAGGTTGTTGAGGGGGAAGCAGAGGGACTCTCAGGTAAGGAGCGCAGAGTTGCCATAGAGGGTGGGGAGAGCTTGAGAGGCCTAGCATATGCTGTGGGTGAGATGAGGAAGTGAGTTAATGGAGGTTTGAGAGGGCTGGTAGAGGTTGTGCCCAGGCAAGAGTATCCGTTGCAGATAGGAACAACTTACCAGAGTGACTTGTACCTTTCCTGGCTGGCTTCCTCACTTTGTGGCAAGCTAGCAGTGAAATAGTGATCCTGTGACTGTGGTTGCCTGTGACATTGTAAATGAACTATATTGAAACCTATTGTAAATGTTTCAGGGCATACAATACTTAGATAAGATTTTAGCCAGGGATGTGATTGGCCAGTCAAATTCATAATTGTGCATTAAAGATCCTTAGATAACATTGGCATCAAATTAAGGGGTAGTAATGTAAACACGATGCTATATATGGTATGGTACTATCGTACAGTAAACATAGCTAAATCATGTTTTTCTTTGAGGTCACTACCAACTTGTAGGAAGGACTGCTGTTAGTGACCTTGTACTGCCACTAGACTATATTCTTTTTTTTCATAATGAACTTGAATATGTATGTACTTTTCCATTTGTTTTCAGATCCTGTTTAAAAGCTCCAAAGGCATTTGTTAGGAAGAGATGGGTAAGGATATTGACAAAAATATTTTTTAGAAGTATCTTTGCTTTTTAAGAACACTTTCAATATATCATAAAAGTGCTAATTTTACTTCCAGTCATGTTTAAATGAAAACGTGGGTGAGAGTAGTAATTTATATAATACTTGTGATTGCAATTGTTTGTCATGGAGTATCTTTTAAGGTTCATTTTGTTTGCTGAATGACAAAATGACACTTTTGTAATCTTACATTGTTTGGAGATATGTATCACTTCTTCAACACCTTCCCCCTTTTAAAATTTCAAAATTGTTTTTTTGTCACGTTATTTGGAGATAAATCAAGTTTTCATAAAATTAAAATATGAATAAAATACGAATGAAAAGAGATGGGGATTCTAAAAATCTTGAAAAACTGAATAGGAACAAAGAAGAAAGATGGGCAAGTGACAAACCATCACGAAAACATGCTTCCCAGGAAGGAAGTGGCAGTATAAGCAGTTCTGAAAATTGGAGATGGAAGGAAAGTAATTACCATCTCAAAGCCTGCACAATTGAACTTTTCCTTCAGCCATTCTCCTTCATGAAGCTAATTTCCACTAACAACCCATAGGAAGAATTCTACTTATATGGTCTTTTTATAAGCCATGTTGTGAGTATTGTTATCCTGACAAGTGAAATATTTTTTTTAAAAAACGAAGATTGCCAGTACCTGTAGGGAGGGTGGGTATAACAGACAACACTAGAATTCATTCTCCTTTATAATAAGTGTGCTGGAATTATATCTATATTTAAATTTTATCTTTTAAAATTTATTTCCTGTTATGAAGTATTTTAGATAACTATCTCAAAATGTTGATAAGGATGCCTTTTTAAAGTTCATCAGATTTATATATTACCAAGGAATGCTATAGTATTTTGAAAGATTTCAGGTTAGTAGATTATCAACTATCTAATATTAAAGCAACTTGACATAAGAACTCTTACAGTATTTATGCCAAACAAAATATATTTAAGTATCATATTTGCATGTTGAACTTGCTACCATTCTCATATATATTTGCTTTATTTGATTTTATCCCACTTTTATTACTTTATAAGTAACTCAAGGAAGCAAACATATCTAATACCCCCTCTTCCTCCTATCCTCCCCCAAACAACAATCCTATCAGGTGAGTTAGAGACTCACTATCTGAGAGTGACTTGTCCAAAGTAACCCAACCATTTTTCATGCCTAAGGCTCCAGTCTTCTAGTTTCTAGATCAACACCTTGGCCACTACACCAAACAGGTTCTCCATGCCAAACTTTATATAATAATTAATGTATTGTTTATTATTTCATTGTTAAACCGTGTAATAGTTATTGAATGAAATTATTCATTCATTTCATTTAGATGGAGAAGAGAAAACATATGGTGGGTGTGAAGGCCCTGATGCTATGTACGTGAAGTTGATATCTTCTGATGGCCATGAATTCATTGTTAAACGAGAGCATGCACTCACATCAGGAACAATAAAGGCAATGTTGAGTGGCCCAGGTTGGTATAACACTCATTTCTGAAAAACTGGGATTGAGAGTTTTTTCTTTGTCTTATAATATTAGAATAATCTCTGGAACCAGTTTCTCAACAAAAAAAAAAAAAACCCAGTACAGTTTTGTAGGATTTAGTATTTCAATTTCAGTCAAAGACTATGTGTCCAAACAAAAGTGAAAATGATTTTGGCAATCATAGGGATTTTCCAATATTACCAAAGGAAAAATTGTAAGCTTTAGGTACATTTTTATAGATCAGTTTTTGTTTTTATGAAAAAGGATCAGTTTTGAGTTAGCCATAACACCAATTTGGGTCAATTATATATATTATGGAAAAATAATTTCCATAATCATTGTGCTAATGATAATAATTATACAGTTCTATAGAGACTGAGAGGGATATCACTGGTAAGATTAATTTCCCTTCCTCACTGTAGCCATTTCCTAACAAATACATTATTCTACCTGCCATGCCCACTAAATCCATAAAATAGATTTGGGTTACTACAAGCCAGATTTATGGGGCGAAGGAGCTTATATTTCATATCACATTCACTTATATTTCACATATGTTCAATCATGCTTACTATTCTAGGAATATAATTCAGGGATAATTAACAGCTAAACATCAGATTTAATTCAGATTTATGACAAATACTTTCATAATAATTAACATCAGTATGGGAAATGGATTCCCAATTCATTTCTTTTTGGAAATAAAATCTGATTAATTTAAAATCCAATTATTTTTAAAATTGCATTTAATATTTCCAAAGAAATAGTTTTTAAGTTTTAATTAGATAAATATGACTTTAAGTTGCTCTAAAATGTAGAGACCTAATCTGCTCTCAGGACAGAAACAAAGTTATAAATGATGGGTTTATGCAGCAACATCTGACAGAAAAGAGGTTCCTCATATACACTGCTCAAAAAACTAAAGGGAATGCTTAAACAATACAATGTAACTCCAAGTCAATCACACTTCTGTGAAATCAAACTGTCCACTTAGGTAGCAACACTGGTTGACACTCAATTTCACATGCTGTTGTGCAAATGGAATAGACAACAGGTGGAAGGCATAGGCAGTTAGCAAGATATCCCCAATAAAGGAGTGGTTCTGCAGGTGGTGACCACAGACCACTTCTCAGTTCCTATGCTTTCTGGCTGATGGTGTGGTCACTTTTAAATGCTGGCGGTGCTTTCACTCTAGTGGTAGCATGAGATGGAGTCTACAACCCACACAAGTGGCTCAGGTAGTGCAGCTCATCCAGGATGGCACATCAATGCGAGCTGTGGCAAGAAGGTTTGCTGTGTCTGTCAGCGTAGTGTCCAGAGCATGGAGGTGCTACCAGGAGACAGGCCAATACATCAGGAGACGTGGAGGAGGCCGTAGGAGGGCAACAACCCAGCATCAGGACCGCTGCCTCTGCCTTTGTGCAAGGAGGGACAGGAGGAACACTGCCAGAGCCCTGCAAAATGACCTCCAGCGGGCCACAAATGTGCATGTGGCTGCTCAGTCAGAAACACACGCCATGACGGTGGTATGAGGGCCCAACATCCACAGGTGGGGGTTGTGCTTACAGCCCAACACCGTGCAGGACCTTTGGCATTTGCCAGAGAACACCAAGATTGGCAAATTCACCACTGGCGCCCTGTGCTCTTCACAGATGAAAGCAGATTCACACTGAGCACATGTGACAGACGTGACAGGGTGTGGAGATGCCGTGGAGAATGTTCTGCTGCCTGCAACATCCTCCAGCATGACTGGTTTGGCAGTGGGTCAGTAATGGTGTGGGGTGTCATTTCTTTAGGGGGCCGCACAGCCCTCCATGTGCTCGCCAGAAGTAGCCTGACTGCCATTAGGTGTCGAGATGAGATCTTCAGATCCCTTGTGAGACCATATGCTGGTGCGGTTGGCCCTGGGTTCCTCCTAATGCACAACAATGCTAGACCTCATGTGGCTGGAGTGTGTCAGCAGTTCCTGCAAGATGAAGGCATTGATGCTATGGACTGGCCCGCCAATTCCCCAGACCTGAATCCAATTGAGCACATCTGGGACATCATGTCTCGCTCCATCCACCAATGCCATGTTGCACCACAGACTGTCCAGGAGTTGGGGGATGCTTTAGTCCAGGTGTGGGAGGAGATCCCTCAGGAGACCATCCGCCACCTTATCAGGAGCATGCCCAGGCATTGTAGGGAGGTCATACAGGAACGTGGAGGCCACACACACTACTGAGCCTCATTTTGACTTGTTTTTAAGGACATTACATAAAAGTTGGATCAGCCTATAGTGTTTTTTTCCACTTCAGTTTTGAATGTAACTCCAAATCCAGACCTCCATGGGTTGCTAAATGTGATTTCCATTGATAATTTTTGTGTGAGTTTGTTGTCAGCACATTCAACTATGTAATGAACAAAGTATTTAATAAGAATATTTCATTCATTCAGATCTAGGATGTCTTATTTTTGTGTTCCCTTTATTTTTTTGAGCAGTTATAGATATAATTTGTACAGGATTTACTCAGAACTTTAAAAGATATCTGAACGTTGAGGTCTTGTTAGCTACTTTTTTGGATGCTTTCCCATATTCCTAACTATAATTTGTGATTTAGGATAGCAATTAATTTCAATCATATTTTTACATCTGCAAATAAAATAATGAAAATATCTGAATAAGGCACTTCTCAACTATAAAGCTAACTGATCAATTAATGGTTCAACCATTATCTCTGCTAATTAACACCGTAGAATTATGAATAAAAATGGGGCAGACAAATATGTTTTTCTCAACTCCTTATTAGAAAGCTAGGATAACTAAAAACAGCTTCTCAAAATTTTGGAGATACAATGCAGCAATTACTTCTGGATGCAGATCAACAATAGAAAACAATATTTCACATATCTTCTCAAATACCAATCAGCTATGTGGATTCAAGATGCTTCCCCTCCTCCCAAGCATTTAGTGGGGGCCAATGAGTAAATACAGGCTTATCTTCTAAACTACAAGTACTAAACAAAGTCAAGGCTTGAAAGATACTTCTCTCTTTTGGCTTTTCCTCCAGGAAATGCATGTATGTATCAGAAGGCTAGTGAATACAGAGGAAATGGTCACAGAATATAACTTTTAATAATGCAGTTTTCAGCTTTCTCTATATGTACATGTGATGTGCTATGTGTTTACGTGTGTGTGTAAAAATAGTGGCTGAAAAGGGCAATGTTATTAGTGCATCATATTCAAGAAGTTAACTGACTTTAATCTGATTAGATCTAGTGGTATAATTAAAACAAGTTTCAATAAGGATTGGTTTGACAGGATTTATAAAAAAAATACCTAAGGTCAAATGAATATCTCTGAAAACTCATTCTGAATTTGTTCAGGTTGATCAAATTTAAATAATTATAAAAGATAAGGCATAACAAATCTAAAATGCAGAAGTTCAAGTAGCAGTGGTTTCATTAAATTATATGTATATACATACAAATGCAACACACACACACACACTTCTGAATTAAATATTTGTCAAAAAATATACTGATGAGTTATCTTTGTTTTTTATGTGCACAGGGCAGTTTGCTGAAAATGAAACAAACGAAGTGAATTTCAGAGAGATTCCTTCTCACGTCCTATCTAAAGTATGCATGTATTTCACCTATAAGGTTCGCTACACTAACAGTTCCACAGAGATTCCTGAATTTCCAATTGCACCTGAGATTGCACTGGAACTGCTGATGGCTGCAAATTTCTTAGATTGTTAAATAGAATAAATTATAATAAAAATGTAAACCAACCCCCTTCCCCTCCAGTATTTAATACATATGTTTAGTTAGCAACTTTTTCGTATAGCATGTTTTATATGTTTGGCCAAGAACTGTACTCACCACCGTGGAGGATATTTCTCACAGTGGTTTTGCATAGGAATCATTCATGCTCAAGATTTTGTTTTGCTGCTTACACAAGTACGGACTTCTTACCAATTGATAAATAAACATGCCGAGTTATGCATGACCTTTGCCTTATCCTTCAGCAAAGAAATAATTATGTTATCAACGCTATGAATTTGCTGAAATTACTTCTTTCTGAGAACAGATCACAGTTAAAGACGGAATCCTCTCTGGTGATGAATCCAACTTCGCTCATTTGGAATGCTCACTATTGGGATATGCTACAAATGTGCCAGGGAGGGGGGATGGAATTTTATGTTAGCATATTTTCAGATTATGCTAATAATAAAATGGATTTATGTTGTAATTGTAAAAATGGCTTATAACACATTTGTTGCAATACTTTACTGAATTTAGTTTGTATGTTCAAATTATTGGTAGGCATTATTACATTTACATAGTAACTTATCCCATACTTCCAGTTCTTGTTTACCTCTAGTAATCTTTATACATTCATCTATAGGCTTTATAAAAATGATGATTCCCAACTATACTGTCAAATGTAAAACAGAGGACTGTGACAGAATGACACTTCTCAGTTTAACATGAGCAAACCTCATCCTAAATAATAAGATCTTCAATCATAACTGGACTTCATTTTGTGCAGTAAATAATTTATTAAATCCATATTCTGGATGGTTTACAAATTGTTAAAAAACACATAACAATACAGTACAAGAAATAAAAATCAAAGAAATTAACATAGCAGAGAAAACAAAACCAGATGGGAATAAGGGAAGGAAAAAACAGACAACTGTCCTTATCAAATCCCTAAATGAAGATCAATGTCTTCAAGGCCTTTTGAAATCTCATTAGGGTGGAGGCTGTTCAAATCTTTGGAGGAACTTATTTCAGAGCGCATGCTGCTACAGAGGAGACATACTTTCAGGGTCCCAAAATACAACATTATTTAATCAATGGAACCAGGGCATGCCAATCCTGCCAGATTGAACCAGCTAGGCACATATTATGGGACAGTATATTTTAGGACATTATTTTGTGTAGCAGTTTATCCACAGTCTTTAGAAAGTATAGAGTATGAGTTAAACACTGTTTTTATCCAGCATTGTTTTTGTTGTGTTTGAGAGCTGGTTACAATAAGTTCTGCTATTGCTGTTTGGCAACAGAGGTATGCAAATATTTCAAGGAACATTCTGCCATCCTATTCTGACCATGAATCAGACCATTCTAACTGCATCAGAGCTAGTCCAGCCTCAATATATATTTTTTACAAACTTCTGTCTAACAAGCATTTACAGAAAAGAAAATGGTTTTGAATAAAAAAGTACAATAAATTTATATGTATGGGTGCAATCAGAGGTAAAAAAACTAAAGCTTCACAGATTTGATATATGTTTGAACTAAGGCATCTGTTCAGTTTTTTAAAAATGGGATGGGGAATTATGAAAGATTGCCTTAAATACTTAATTTTTTAGAGTGACCTTACTTAAGAAATAAAAAAAAATCTTTTTGTTGTCTTTTGAGTCAGTCTTGACTCCTGGTGACTACCTCTGCAATTTTATTGGAATTATTTCAGAAGTGGCTTACCAGTGCTGCCTTCTTAGGGCTGAGAATATATCTGGCCCAAGGTCACCCAACTGACTGGCTTCATGCCTAAGGCAAAACTAGAAATTACAATCTCCCAGTTTCTAATCTGGTGATTTAAATCAGTTATAATACTAATTGCATGGTAGTAAAAGATCTTGATAAATATAGTTTGACATAATTTTATATACTTTTCATAATGTACTTATTCAGGCCAAAACAAGCATAATAGTGGGGTGGGGGGAAATCTAGAGATTCTGCTTTTCTAATTGGACTTAACATTCAACTCTTGCATATACTAGTTCCCCAAATAGAACTGATGCAAGTAAACATAAGCAAATACTACTTATATTCCAAGTAGAAATTTGCAGTAACAGTGTCTTCTGGTACAATTTGATCTAGAACCGTATATTAGTCAATTTGTCTTGATTTATTGATCTTCCCTTCTTTCCCAGGCCAATATTCCTGTTCTATTTGTCATACACAAGTCAAGGTTTTTTAAATCTATTCTGAATATTGTACATTTGTGTTTGTATTCTGAAAGTATAGTGTAATGTGTTTATTTTAGTATTATTCTCTTTTTGAAAAATGAGGAAGGAACTGATATATAGAAAAGGCGCTTAGTGAAAACAAAAAGTACACCATGAATTTCAGTTTTGTTTCCAAATGCTCCCACTGTCAGTAGTTTCTAGTTTTGCATATGCTGAAGATAGGAGAAACTGGAATAATTCTGTTAAGGTTTACTACTCATAGAGAGGTGGCCTCCTGATACTGCAAATGTTAGTTGCTATGCAACTGGTCCAACAAAAGAATGTGAATATAAATCTTCCATTACATTGGGTAAGACAACTATGCTGTGAGGAAAATACAGAAATCTGTTAATTATATAAGATGTTCAAATATTCATTTATTTATAAAATAAATTGTGAAATTGATAGAATTTGAAACATTCAGGTTTACAGCTGATTTGTATGTATATACATACAAAGCTAAGAGTTATTTCTACATTACAAAACTATTCCACTTAAAATATTCATAGGGATGTATTTCAATACTGAAGTGGAACCACATACTGTCTTTTATGAAACATGCTATTTTCAAATTTTAGTCTATTGTTATTAATCTGCCCAATGTATAGTGACAGTATATGTGACATATGCTTACAGGATTAGTTGTAGATTAGTATTAAATAATGTAATTTAATGGATATTTAAAATTAATTATGCTTCAGAACACTCAGTTTTAATTGTTTCCTTCTTCAGATAGACCCTTTTTAGTGCCTTTGAGTCAACGGTAACTGCCTGGTCTATTCCCTGCAATTTAATAGTTTTACAAGTTTGTTTCCCTGGAATTAAAAAAAAAATTGCAACAAACTACCCATGAGATTTGAAAGAGAAGGATAACACTTCTTAGTCTTGTTTTACAGTTAATCTGACTTTGATAAAACTAGTATTGAAAACATTCCACAGATATTTCAAAATATTCAGGGAGTCCTAAACACACATTGATTGGATTCATATGCCTAATTATATAGTTTGACTTATTTTGATTGAAGAACAGTGTGTGAAACCAGGCACTCTGGCTTAGAAATCATGATTTACAGCTTAATACATAATGTGAACCAAGTTATGGTTCATTCAACAAAACATGATTAAACAACCCCTAGCTAAATATAGTATGTAATCAAGTCCCTTGCTAATGCAGTGTTCCCCAGTCAGTTATCCTCTAGGTATGTAACATGACCATAGAAGTGTCTTTGAACAACACTGGCTCCCTCACCTAGGAAACAGAGATGAGGGCTGCCCCATAGAGTTGAACATGACTGGATAGGGGAAACTTTATGTATGTTTTGGATTATGCAGCATTGTTCTTGTTTAGACAGCATAGTAGCCCAATGAAATACATATGCCTTTTCCTAAGTAAGGCAATTATGCCCCTCAAGCAGCCTAGTTAATTTGTTCCATAAACAAAGTACCAGTCTGAACTGTTGAAATATTAGTAAGTTCAGAAACAATTCTCACTGAACTAATGATATAGGGAGATAACTGATAAATTATTTAATAGTTTTAACAAAACTGAAAAAAATAATCTGATCTAAATTAATTTAGTTTCTTGTCATATTAGACCTATGGAAGGTTATCTGTTGAATCTGTTTCTCTACTATAATCCTAGGGTCTGTTAGCCAAAGTTCAGGTGTAAAATAGTAAGCCAGACAGATATACGTATATTAAGGAAATGAATGTGTCCGGGTATGCACTCAATCCAAAATTTATGACAAATTCCAAAACTATGCTCACAGAATCTTTAACCCAAAACTCCAATCCTTGTTTTCCTTCTAATTCAAATGAAAATAGTTTAGTAACTGTCCAGATGGTTGGAAGTCAGAAACCCTTGGCAATCTATTCAAAATTGCTCAGTGATCTAATAGATGCTTCTCTAATTTTGTTCACTTCTTTAAAGCACTCTATTTTAACTATACTAGTTAGATGAATGGTTTCCTGTCATATATATATCTAAATTCCTGTCCATATATCTAAATAAGTTTGAAAATCATAGTTTAGTAAAATGTTAGCAATATATTACACCATCCTTAATGGCATTTCAGTTCTAAGGAAAACAATCATGAGTTGTATGTTATAAATATGTCATTGATTTACTTAAAACAGTTAAAAAGAGGGAAATTGACATTTTGAACATACATTATTATACAGGTTATAAAGTATTTTATTTGTACAAAATGAAATCAAAATATTTTAAAAAAACTGAAAATGAAAATGGGATTTAGCAATTCTTGTATTCCAAACCAAACAATAACAGTTTGCACAGCATGAGGACTGAAGAGAACTTGTATTGGTTCCCACACCAAGTCCAAATAGCCTAATCTTGTGTCCAGTTTGTGTGTGTGTGTGTGTGTGTATTTGTGCCTTTGAGTCAGAGTTGACTCCTGGCAACTTCCTGGACTAGGCCCTGCAATTTTCTTAGCATTTTTTTCCAGAAATTGTTTGCTACTGCTTACTTTCTAGGTTGAGAATGAGTGATTGTCTCAAGTTCATCTGGCTAGTTTCATACCTAAGGTGGAACTAGAACTCAGTCTCCCTTAATCATTATACAAAATTACTTTATTAACCACTGGAATTTCAATAAAGATTATGGCAAATGCCAAGTTCAAGATCCATATTAGCGTATGTTTCTGTATATCATTTGCCACATTAGCAAATGTTTTGTATGACAAAAAATATTTGTGGCCGTAATGGGAATTATATGGTTGTGGATGTCATTTGGCTGGATGATAGGAAAATCTGAAGTGAAAAATCATCTTCCAGTTGCTTATGTAAATATTAATTTTCATTATAAATAGATCAGTACATGCCCTTCATGAATTGGTAAAATCATGTATTTATTTTTGACAAAACATTAGGATTTCAAATTCCCTGCTCAGAGGGAATCTGTCAGGGTATATTTGCAAGATTTTACTTTAGATTAAACTTTCCTTGAGTAACGAAAAACCAGGCACTACCAGAAAATAAGCATGATGTTGGTTTCCTATACATATCTAAGCTAATTATTTCAGTTCTGTGATAATATATTTTGTCTCCAATAAACGGAAAGTTATTTTTATAGCCTGTCAAACGTAAGCACACATTTTGAATGTAGGTCTATCTAAATATATGCTGTATTTGAAACGTAGGTCACTTATGATGTCACTGCTGGCGATATGGACGAGATTCCAGATGGCAACCAAAATGCGTTTGCTTTTTCGCCAAGCTAAGTCGTGCCTCTACAATAGGTGACCTCACATCGTCCGTGAGGTTTTTTGGGCACCCCTTCCAGATGCAAGGCCGCAGTCGGAGAAAACACTTAATGGGCATGCGATGTCTGGTGCGTCCACGACGATATATACACCTATTTTATATATATATGTTTTTATATATATATAAAAACAAACCGCCTGGCACCATAAACTCGGGAAACCAGCACGGCACGCACGTGGCCTACGATCTTACCGAGTTCTGACGCCGTAATGAGGAGCTACGGTTTGCTTTGAACCTTTTTTTTTTTTTTTTAAATTTGAAAGGAAGGCCAGAATTTCATCAACCCGCCCGAAGACGTCCCGTGCCCACCTGGCACCGTCTACGACAGGGCTTCGGAGCGCATGCGCGCTTTTCACGGGATGGCCGGAGTTCCCACGTGACCCGTAGGGGCGGGGAGGGGGGGAGAAGCGAGGAGGAGAAGGAAGCGACCGGGGAAGAGTGCCGGCGTTACTGCCGCCGCCGCCGCCGCCCTGCGTCTCTCTTTCTCTCGGTCCCGGCCGGCGGCGCCGAGAGCGGACACTGTGGGGAGGCGGATCCATCATGGCGTCTATGCAGGTGAGCAGCCTGCGGCAGGCTGGAGTGGCGCGTCCCTTCGTCCCCAGGTGACTCTCTCGGGACTACGGAGAAGAAGAGTGGGGCGGAGAGCCGCGCTGCCGTCAGCAGGAGTCGGTGAAGGTTGGACCGGAGTCTCTGTCGCCCCTCTCGCTTCCGCTGACTTCCGTGAAGCGGCGGCGGCGGTTGGAGCTGCTCTGGCGTTTCCTTGCCCGAGCGATTGGAAAAAGCGCCGAGAGAGGAACTTCGTCCTGAAGGGACGGCCGGGCGAGAAGCCGGGCGAGGGAGCAGAGAAGGCCAGGAAGGAGAGAGGTTGAGAAAGGCTGAGGAAGGGACAGGCGACGGGAGGGAAAAGCCGAGTTGTCCTGCGGCTCGGAAGCTTAAGAAAGGCAGAGGTGGAAGCGGCGGACCAGGTTGGTCTTCACCGGGTGAGAGCAGGTGGCTGTTTCCTAGGTGTGGCTTTCAGAGACTTGGGCTGTGCTTGGCCTGGCTTAGTTGGTGGTGAATGTGGGAAGGGGCAGTAAAAGGCGCCCACTGGCTGAGGCAGGGCTGTGGCTGCTTCAGGAAATGAAATGTCTTCAGAAGCCCCTTTCTTCGGAGTCCTTGGAAGAATTGCGTGGCTCTGGAAGTATGGAGGAGAAGGAGTTTTGGTGGAGCGCCTGCGTGTGAGGGTTTGAGAAAGAGGGAGAGGTCAGGAAGTCTTGGTGTGCTTTCTTATTTGTACGTCAATCAGGGCATATTTCGTTTTTGTAAAAGTGACAGTAGCCACTGCAGTTACCATTGGATCTATCATTCTCTGTATGAAGATCGAGTTCCGGTCCCATACATCAATTACTCTGACTTCAGGGATGCCTGTGTAACCTCAGGATTTCCGGATCACCCAGGGAGCCAAGTTCAAAAGAGTGGTGGAGGGAGGTGAAATAGGTCCAGGATGATCGGTTCTCCCCACGAAGTAGTTTATTACTGTTATCTTAGACACTTTGATGGCAGGCATATTCAAAAACAAGTATGTATGAGTTGTGAAATTCTAACTGGCATTTCTGTTTTGTCTTTGTGTTGGAATCAGGAAGTCAACCAGCTAATTGGCCACTGCAAATCTTATAATATTTGCTTTCTATCCATTGAAAAATCTCACCATACTGTCGATAGTAGAATTGTTAGTTTTTAATCATTTTCTTTTTTCTTTTTCTTTTTTCTCTCTCTGTGTTGTGTATGTGTTTGTTTGATATTTTAGTTCTATAATCAATAAAGTTTGTTTAAAAAAAGAAAAAAGAAAAATCTCACCATAACCATTTTCTACAGTTTAGTATTTATTTTTATTGCTTTTTAAATTAATAAAAGGACAACACAATACCAAAAAAATAATAGTGATTTTTGTTGCATACATTGTAATTGGAGGTCCACTTCCACTGACATTCTTGCTACAGAAGTTAAGATGCTTTACCATTATCTAGATAATATAGGAACGTCTAATTATATTTTCCCTTCATTTTTTAACATTTTCTTGTTGAATTGATTTATTGATAACTATATAAAAAGTAATAATAGGTTTTTTAGTTTTAAAGAATTTAACAAGTTGTTCTAGTGTCTTAGAAACTGAAAATGCTGCTCTTCTGAATAATGTTAGCAAATACTGTAATTGTAAATATTGCCATTGACTTATATCTGATAGATGATTTATCTTTGTACGTAGGATATGTTAAAAAATTATTATCAGTTGATCCAAAGTCAATATGCCTGCTTCTAAGCTCTTTCCATATTTGACTTTCCCATGCTGTGTTTTTAATAGTATTTAAGAATTATTGAAGTTGTATTCTGCTCCTTAAAATGATTTACAGAATTAAAATAACATACTTTCACACTGAAATCTGTGCGTAGCAAAGAAGACATCCTTTAAGTAGTTGATGAAACCAAAGAATTATAAATGCCCAGATTGCCTAAATCTTCAGAAAGGCTTAACAACCATAACGAGAGACTAACCCTAATTCTATCAACACCTAGGAACATATATAACTTACATTAAACCTGTTTTTCTTTTTAAAAAGATATATGAAGAATTAGTAGTTGTGCAAACTGTCATAGCAAGTCCATCATCCAATTAAAAATGGTTTTGCCTATTAAATGTTGGATGATACCGTGTTTCTCATATAATAAGGCCGGGTCTTATTTTTTTTTGAGCCCCGAAAAAATGGCTAGGCCGTCTTTTCGGGGGTGACTTAATTCCCCCCCTTGCATCTTCAGGCGGGCGGCGACGGCTTGGATGTTGACCTCGGCGTTGGTGGGGCACTTCATATCGGGGTCAACTCAGGCAGCACCATATCCGGGTGTGCAACAAAAGTACTTCCTAATGGCAAGCCCCCCCCACCATTCCCCCCATTTCACATGTTTTAATATAGGCCTTAATTTGGGGGGAGGGGCTTAATTTCATTTCATGCCTATAAAACATGTTGGGACTTCCTATTGGGGGAGGCCGTATTGTTGGAGAAACAGGGTACATGTATTCAATAGTTTTCAGCTTAGCATAGGGCAATTTATTACCTAGTTAGTTGTGTGTAATATTTTGATTTCAATTAAAATGTTTAAATTTTATATATGTATAATTTTATTAAAAATTTAAACAATATAAAAACTAACAAGAACATACAAAGTATAAAAGAAATAAGAAAGAAGAACAATGACAAAGAAAAAGAAAAAATGCAAACAAAAAACACAAAGTTGCTGATTTTCTTTTCAGCAAGTATAATAACAAATAAAAATACTTCTTACTTTATGATTACAAAATCATTCTCTTTATTATATTACCCATTTCTGTCTAATTATCAAATCTGTAAGTCATACGTTCATTATTTTCTGTTTCTCACAAAAAGTCTTAAGGGGCTTCCACTCAGTAAATATAATGCCCTTTTTCTAATTAAATAAATCAATTTAGCTATCTTTGCAAATTCTATCATCTTCATCAACCATTCTTCTATTGTAGGTAACTTGAGTCTTTCTGCTTTTGTACATTTAATATTCTTGCTACAACTGTATAAAAATAAAGCTGTATGACTTTTTTTTCCAGTTCTTCATGTATCAGTCTCAAAAGAAAACCTCTGTTTTCTGTTGTTAATTATCAAAAGCTTCTGCAATAGTGTATTCATTTGCACCCAAAATTTTATGGCTTTTTTTACACATCTACTAAAGATAATAAAATGTCCCTTTACGTTGTTTACATTTCCAACATAAATTTAAAGTACAAAGTTACATCCTGTGCAGTTTTTCTGGTGACATATAGCAATGATCCATCACTTTATAGAAATTCTCTTTAAGGTTATAACAAAATGTAAATTTCATCTTGTTGACCATTTATTTTCCATTTGTAGAGGGTTCTATTTCCAATTCAGTCTTTATATGTTCATAACATTTATACATTATTTTATCTACTTTAAAGTTTTCTGAGAATGATGTATAGGAGAGCCATTGAGAAACGTATTGCTTTGCTATTACATCTTCTCTTGACTTTATTTTACATTCTCCTTGAAAAAATTCTAATATCTCATGGTAAGCTAATCATTTATGTTTACTTAAATTCTCATTGATAATTGCTCAGAGCCACAAATGTGTTTTTGGGCAAAACCTGGATGTATATCTATTCCATATTTTCAATATGGTACATCTAACATGATTTTAAAAATCTATATTAACCTTAGTTTGATCATATGACAATCATGCCATCCAAATAATAAATTGTGTCATCTAGCTCCAGCTCCAAAAGTCTTTTATTTCTCAGCAATGCCCACTCTTTCACCCAAACTAAACAGTATGCAGAAAAATCCTATTATGGTCAGGTAAACCCAGTTCTGCTCTTTCTGTGGGAAAAGAAGAGACAGAGCTGGAGGCAGAGTCCAGACGGAAATCAACCTGGAGTCGTTACGTTCCCACAGTTGGTCCAAGTCTAGCTCTTCTTGAATTCTGTTAACTCTTATCTTGGGCCAATTTAGTGCTGACTGTTATTAGACTAGATTCTTGTTTACCAACATGAGCAATAAATTAGCTTAACTAGAACTTAACATGTGGACCTGATTCTTTATGCCTAACATTAATCTAATCAGTTAAGGAGAGACAGAGCCTGGAGGCAATCAAGAGAGGAATCAGTACAAATTGGCA